AGTCAATGGGGAAACTAGATTCACTTAACAACCGTGTTACCAATTTAACAACTGCAGTGACTCACTTAACAAGTGTGGCAAGAAAAGTCATAAAATCAAAACTCATTTTACAAATGTCTAATTTAGCAACATAAATTTTGGGCTCAGTTGTGGTTGTAAGTTGAGGACAACCTATATTTTACATCTATTGCATCTCTTTCGTTTCACAGAATTAAGAACATCTTAATCAGGTTTTAAGATTAACATCTTAATCTATTTACCGGTTTGCAACGGGGCCGCACACTCGCTCTTCTGCGCAAGCACAGAAGCATTTTGATGACGTCAGGGTCAGTGGGTGGAGCCTCCCGCCGGTTTTACTACTGGTTCTATAGAAACGGTGTGAACCGGGGGCAACCCACCACTGATCTTAATGTAAACCTATTACTTTTTATTCCTCTTACATACTAAATGATTGTTGTTTATGTATTATCAGATGGACCCATAAACACAATCTGTCATGCCTTGGCCAGCTGAGACATATTTTTAAATAACACAGAGAAAGTGTAGACTGGATTGTCTGCCTTAATCATATTTGTTCCACATGGGGCATTTCTTCCTAAGAGTAAATGAAGTCAGTTTGGCACATCATATTCTTTTCCATATCCCATCAACAAAGATCTAAATGCAGTGTAATGACATAGAACAGGGGTCCCCAAACTGTGGGCCATGGCCCACTACTGGGCTGTGGCCTAGTCTCCACTGGGCTGCATGAGTAGCCAGCATGTGCGCACAGCCCCTCTTGCTTGAGCATTGCTGCAAGCATTGCAGGTGGTCGCGGCCCAACTTGCACAAGCGTTGTCGCGGGCGCTTGCGGCCCCACTCGCACAAGCCCCCCCCGCCCCCCTGTTCTGGGCCATCAACCCTGAAAGGTTGGGGAGCTCTGACATAGAAGTTATCTGTTGCAAGTGATACACTTTAATGCAGGGATGGGCAGTTCATTGTTCCAAGGGGCTACGTGAGAAATTGAGACTGTTGTGGAGGGTTGAACTAATAGGGCTGTGAAGGCGTGTAGGCACAAATGCATGCACAAAGGCAAACTGGAAAAAAAAATAGCAGTCACCTTTAAAATAAAAGCAAGCACTTGTATTGCATGCATAGTGTACACTTATTTACATTTGATTTCTGATTGACCTCATGTGGGCCAGATGGAGACAGCCAAAAGAGCAGGATGTGGCTCAAGGCCATAAAATGCCCAGGTCTGCTTTAATTTATCCCAAGGTGAGAATTGGATACTTCTGTAATATCATCCCATGTCTATCATTATAATGATTGGGTCTACTGTAACTACTAACCTTTTTTTTCCTACCTTCCATATAGTAATTGACAAGGGTTTTTCCTCCCTCATTTTTGTTTAAAAATCACTCATTTTTCCTCCCATCAGGGATGACTATGAAGTTAGTTGTCCGGAATTAGATGAGCTGGTAGCTGCTGCCATGGAAGTTCCTGGAGTTTATGGTAGCAGAATGACTGGTGGCGGTTTTGGAGGTTGCACCGTAACTCTTCTTGAATCGGGAGCTGCAGAAAAAGTTCTGAAACATATCAAGGTATGTGGTTGATCGGGCGGCAAGAGTGGATTTGCTGGTACAGTTCTCTCATTTACAACCTACATGAGCAGAATTTTAACACCAGCTTTTTCTTCTTGGACCTATGTTTTAGTTCTTCTTGATACAAAGCACTCTCTCTGGGGATAGATATATATTAGAATATAGGCTGTAATCAATGTATGCAATTATTTTTGATATCAAAAATTCCAATATGTTCATCAGTAAAATCCAGTCCTATTTTTCTTCCTGGCTGTCTTTTAGCAATAACACTTAGACTTATATACCACTTCATAGTGCTTTTTATAGCCCTCTCTAAGCGGTTTACAGAGTCAGCATATTGCCCCCAACAATCTGGGTCATTAAACCTTTTGTGGTCTAATTCCTCACTGTATATCTAAGAACAGTTTTAAGGATATGAACTTATACCCTGAAACAAAACCCCTAACCCTCTCTGCCTTCATCAGCCATAACCTGCCACCAGTGTATTGGCCTATGTGCCTGCTCATTCCTGAGATGATCCCAGCAGGAAGAAACAGACTCCAAGCATATATTTCTGGATCCTGAATTCCCAGCATCTTCCTTTTCTCCTTTGCCTGTCTCCAGCCACTGATGATAATGTCCCACTGCTACACCTCCCACCTGCCTCCTTTTCTCTCTCAAGTTCTGCTGTACCATGCACCATGTTCCCACGCACCAGCATTAAGGAAAACACTCAACCTTGGATTCCCCTCCCCCTCTTGCTCCCCATTGTAAACCACATTTGTCCAGAACTTCTATATTTCAGTCCATACTGGAACAAAACACCCTTATTTTCTTCTGTATATAGGCCAAAAACTGCATACATAAAATGGTCCACGCATGGAATATTTTTTCAGATCCCTAATGTCATAACATAAATTGTGAGGAAAGCATTTTTATGTTTCTAGAGGAATGAAGTACAGTAGAAAGTGTCTGTGTGTGAGAAAGATTTTGACAGCCTTTAGCATGGATAGATGAATTTAGTTCTGAGGAGAAAAGTCTGTGCTGGGGAGCATAGAAACTGTCTTGGTCCACCTGCTATTTATCTTCCCACAGTTTCTCTGCTAAGAGCTGTTTCTTTCTGTTGCTATTAGAACTGTTGTTTGGATAAAAAAGTCTTCAGTCCAGACACAGGCAATCTGCTGCCTTCTGGGTGTTTAATTCCTTGACATTGACAGTTTTGCCTACGGCAGATAGAAGACCAAAACATTTGGAAAAACATTTGCCCATTCCTGGTTTAAACGTCCATTATCAACACATGTTTTCTGTTGCTAAATTTGCTGTTTGAGCAAACTCATATGCTTGCTGATAATGTCTTTGGGGTTTTTTCCCCCCTTCAATTGTGTCTGATTATTGGAGATTGCTTGAACAGTCTTTGCAATTTTCTTGGCGTGGTTTTTCAGAAGTGGTTTATCCTTGTCTGCATCCTGGGTCCGAAAGTGAGTAGCCCAAGGTCATCCAGCTGGCTTTGTGCCTAAGACCAGTATTGGAACTTACAATCTCTCACTTTCTAGCCTGATGCCTTAACCACTACACCAAAATGGTTCTTGTCTTTGGTTTATCTCTTAATAATTGCCGTCTGAGTGATAAATAGCCATCTGATATGCCCTAAGTCAGATTTCCACACTTGTGAACTTTTTCTCCTGATGTAGTTTGTATGCCTTGATAAATTCAGATAATTGCATATCATGGTTTTTTGCTTTTATCAATTAGGACAAATACAGCAGGACAGCGACATTCTATTTCACAAAACCCGCTGATGGATCTCAAATACATCTCCTGTCTTGAAAGCTCTTCCACCTTGTCTGTAGGATTCACTAAGAAAAGTGATAAAGAGAAGCATGACATTTTTGGACAGCTTCCTGGGACATTAGCTTGGAGCAAAGACTTGACTTCTTCCATAAAAGAAGTGAAGTAAGTGAAAACCTGTGTGCGCACACAGATGTTTTTTTTTTTCTTTTAGCCAAGAGCCCAAAAGAGATTTTTGTCTGATTCACAAGACAGTTTGGGGCTCAAAATTTCCTTTTCAGAGAAACACTATGATGAGTTTCATTAAACAGCCCTTGATTTCTGCATACAGTTTTCTGTGATAAGTTCCTTCAACAACCTGGATGGAAATACTGAGGCTGGGAAAGCCTGGCATAAACTCCACAACTCCAAAGCAATTCAATTCCTTTTTATCTTCCCAAGCAGAGACTAATCGTGGAAATAGGCTTTCTGTTTTACATTGTGCTCTAAATTTTGCTTCTATTCTTTCCTTTTTGCTTACCCCATTAATGAGTGATCTTCCAATAATGAATTACCCACTAAACATCTCTTAAATAGAGTCACTTTGTGATGAGTTTCTCCATTGCATTCCATATTATCATTTGTTACTGACAAGGACAGGCTGATGCAACATAATACCCTCAACCCATATAATTGGTAGAAATGTGGTAGAAAGTGACAGCGTAGTCAGTTACAGTGAAGTCAAAATAAAATGGGCATCATAATGTCTATGAGATGATGTGTAATTGCATCATGACTTCTAATGCAAAGATGTACGGTAAAATGTGTCCTTTGTACGATGTAAGTTGTGTCATTTGTATGATGCATTTATCATTTGTCTCCCCTCCCTCTGCCCCAACTCTGATCCAATTAAGCAAAATTCACAATAACGATAGCCTTTCTTGCAATAGAATGTATGATTGTCACACTAAAATAATTGGCTATGTTCCCTTATAGGAAACCTTCATGTGGTTAGTTGGTTTTCATTTTAGCATGATTGTGACCCAGCCTTGATTTGTAAACCTCAGTTTATTATACCAATGTTATGCATAAGCACAATGTCTTAATAAACCAGGGTTAAACACATCAGGGATTAGTAATGTGTAAACTAGCCAATACTTGTTTAACATCAACTGTCCACTAACCAGTTTTTAAATTATCATGTGCCTAGCCTGTGTTGTTATGTAAAGCTTAGTGTTTTGTGCAGCCATTATATCCCAACAGTACTATCCCAACTGTATGTTTTGCAGTGGCAACAGTTACGTTAAAAATGAACTTCTGCTGGGCACTCAAACATATTCACAAAAGTTATTCAATTATTCTTCACATGTATTTCAACTGCTAAACAGATGCAGACTTAACTTTTCCCATACAACATTTTTTAAAGACAGATCCCATTGCTATTGATGCTAATCTTTAATGCTAATTTTGACAACCTTATATCCTTTTAACTTTGGCCGTCAGGTTATTTTAATAACATCTTCAGGTAGAAGTTATATGTTTTGCTTTTATTGCCTAATTCTGTTGAGGTTTAGGTTTGTACAAGATCTGCATCATTGCCCTCATTAGCAGTCAACCTGGTTTTTTTTTTTTACACATAGCATATTTGAAAATAATAATAAAAAAAATAGCTGCGATCATAGAGAAAATGTTTATTAAGTGCAATGCAAAGCCATCCGGTCCAAAGCACCATCTGTCAGATTTCTGAAATACTGAAACTGCATGTGTACTTAATTCCATCAACCTCTACAAGCCATAATAATCTACAAACATGTAATTTACATTATAATGTGTTTTTCATTATACATCAGTGAAAGCATAGGATGCCTTTTAAAACTTCTATTTAGAACGACTGTGCCGTTAGATACCTCTTTGGATTACACCAAGATGTGTGGTTCTTATTCTGAGGGAAAAGTTTAATAATCGGTAGTAAGAGTTTGCAAGAAACAGGAAATCGTATCAGAAAAAGAAATGGAAAGCTCTGGAGATAAAAGTTAATGCAGCTTCTCCTAAGAAGAAATGATTTGCAACTCCCTTACAAAGGATCCAGGAAATCATTCATTCTGTTCAGTACGAAAGAAATCTTGCCCTTTTAAAAGACAGTCCAGGAACTTTAATAATTCCATCTCTTATGAATGATTCACAGCACTGAATATGAGATCCTAAGAGCTCCAGACTGATACATTTTGCCTGAATGGGCCTAGCTGCATTACTCTTCCTAGTGGCATTGATCAAATGTTCACTTTCAGCAGATGTTATGTCCATCTGTTCTGAGAACCACTCACAACTACGGGGCACCTTCAAGTCATGTGGGGTGCAGGATAAGCCAGCTAGCATTACCCACACCTTGCGTGATGATTGGCACTGACGAATAAACTGTCATTTAGATCAGGGTTCGCCAAACTTGTCAAATTTAAGACTTGTGGATTTCAATTCCCAGAATTCCTCAGCTAGCATGGAGTTGAAGTCCACAAGTCTTAAAATTGGCAAGCTTGGAGAACCCTGATTTAGATAGATAAGATGCCATGTAATTGCATTCTGACCTTCTCACCAAAGAATTCCTGGGCAGCTTCTGAAAAATGCAGCCATAGCACCGATGTTAATTTGGATTTCAGTTTGTTTCCAAAGGAGTTTTAGGATTATTTTCCAAAAAATACGTTAACATGATGCTATCATTGTCAATTCACTAGTTTTTATGTGGTTGGAAGAAAAAAAGATAGGAAAACAATCACATTGGGACTCTGACCAAGGCTATTGTATTTGCACCATAAGAGCCTCATCCAAAAGTAACTAAAATGTTGGCTAGAAGTAAATCAGTTTATTTTGAGAGCTACCTCTTAAAGATATTAATTGTCCATTGCACAATACCAAATATTTGATATTGAAGTTGGAAAGTTGCTTTAATTGCCCCATGTTATATCGGATTCTTTGGAAAAGGGTTTACAGGTAAGTCCTTGTTTAGCAATCATGACCTGGGATCAACAGCTCAGTTCTTAACTCAGCAGTCATTAAGTGAAACTGTGCCTGTGTTTGTGCTCTTGCTTTAACTGTCCTTTGCTTTATGACCTGCAAAGGTTATAAATATGAGGATTGGTCATAAAATTACCATACTTTTTAAATTATGGTTGTAACTGCAAATGGCTGCTGAACAAAGTCGTTAAACGAGGACTACCTGTATATATTTTAGCAACCTTACGCCATAAAATAGTATTTTTTGTTAATCTGCTAATGAATTGCTATATACTGCACAGCGTGGGATTTTATAACCAACTATACAACAATTGGATTAACTCCCCTGGATTGCAAGGAATGTATGTGACAAACAGGATGTTATTGTGCTCAGAAGAAAAAAAAATGAGGATGGTCTTAATTTCAACAAAGAGGAAGAGATCCAGTTAAAATATGCAAAGTGAAAAGCAATGGTCTGAGGTAAGGATTTCAAACCAAATCCAGAGCAGCAAAGCAGATACTCATGAGCTGGATTCAGAGTTGAACTAGCCAAGAGAGTTTCATAACCAAGTGTTCTGTTAAAAGCTCCTTTCACAAGATGCTAGGTTACCAGCTAGGCTGTGTGCAGATATCACCTGGTGATATTTCAAAAGCAATGGCCAGTGGGTGGCTTTTAGGGCTAATGGAGCACAGAGATTGCCATCCGCTCTCATCTGGAAGATGGCCACAGAACATCTTGTTGAAATTTGAGTGTCTTTTTGGCAGTTTCCTTGTGCGCTCAAGCTTCATAGAATTGTCTCTCTGTCTGTCTGGAGAATGTCCCACTATTGCTGGACATGGTGCTGGTGATGTATTCTTTGGTGATCTGTTTGGTCAGGGTGCCGCCACTTTCCACTCGCTGGGTGGTCATCAGCATCCCATCTGAAACAAAGGGACAGAATAAAAACGGCGTAAACAGCAACTTCCCCCGTGGCTAGATTTGCAGTTCATTCTTAAAGCATAAAATTGGCTGTTTAAGGTTTTGTTGAGTATGTAGTGTAAAACCAAATATATAAAAGTGCATTTTGTGAAGCCAGCTAATTGTGGTTTATTCTCTAAACTGTAATTGAATGATGGATTAAGCATGTTCAATCAGTGTACGTGCACAAACACATGGCCATACATATGTGAAAGCTTAACATAGTTTATTTTTTTGTTTTGTAATCCCTAAGCATCACTTTTATGACTTCTGCCCCTGCACTGGGTTGTGTTTAGGAACACTCTAGAGCCGTTTATCTGATACCCCTAGACGTGTTCAGGCACTTGGGAAAGAGCCAAGCCCCCTTAGAGGTAGTAAGTATCCCAGCCCTTCCTGAAGTCATGCTTCTGATATCTAAAAGACAGACCTCTTCATATCCTGTGAAATCTTCCATAACCTAAAAGGCTTTACATATAAAGCAACACAGACATCTATCTTAAAAGACCTCATGGGTGCAACTGCAGACACTCAGCACTGTTTGTGTGATTAATATAATCCTTTCCAGAGTTCCTGAATAGAGTTGGGATGCTGGTCGTAGTGTGCTTTAAGCAGAAGCAGAGTTCTTTTTTTGGGAAGAAGTCTCCATTTAATTTTTTGTACCAAAAAAAAGCAGTTCTTTAATTTAGAAATAACTGCTCTGGCCCTGTTCCTGATCTTAGCAGTGATAGGAGAGTTTCCTAATACTATGAAAAGAATACATTACCATTGAGTAAACCTATGTATGAAAAGGCCTGTTCTGCCATTTTTCTAGCGGGAAAAAACCACTTATTTTTCGTTTAACTATTTCTGAATAAAGATTTCAACCTTCCCCTTGCGATCCCAGAGTCTCGAGATTCAGGTTTGTTCTCCTCTAAGATGAATGCTAGATACTCTTCATTAATATTGTCCCAAAGATCTCAGCAAGGTTATCGAAAATCAAGGCACCCCCTATTTCCATCATTCCCTTTTTTTTACCTGCATATAAAGGATCCAGTAGGGAGTGAGTGATGCTCGTTTGGGTGTTGTATTCTGTAGGGAGATTGAAGACTTCCTCCCTGGTGAATTGATGTGTTCCATATTGTGAGAATACTCCTGAAGCAGAAAGGAGGAGGGGGGGATGTAATTCAATGCTTGGATATCTAATTCTCATTCCATCTAATATTATTTTTTAAAAAATGACTCTGAGAACAAATGCAAGAAGATGGTGTCTAAGTTAAAGCAGATCATTTGTTTTCACATGACCATGCAAAGCTCTATTCTGTTACTTTTATTTCCAGCTAATCTTCCTAAATATTCAGTTCATTTCTCATTTCTCATCTATCATCTGTCTCCCTTTGAATTAAAATGGGATAACGATAGCTTCAAAAGCAGAAACTTGTAAAAATCATTTGCGGCGCCTTGAAGATCAATTTTCTACTCACTAAGAAAACAGCATTACTTTTAAGAGTATTTAAAATGTCCATGCACACATCATGTTAAGGAAAAACTGATTCACCATTCCAGATGCTGTCTACTCCCATATATTACACTTGCACAAATTGGGTAATGAGGACCCAAATTTGACATATCCATATTACCCTAACTTTGGGTTTTGGATGCCTTACCCACTGTTCTTTAAGAACACATTCATGTGTGCATTTTTAAAAAAAATTTCAAAAGAGTTATACAGCTGCTTATATTGTAACAACTCTGGATAGTGTGGAAAACATTAAAAACAATCAGAATACAAAGTCAGTGAAAATTTCAAAAACCCATGGAATCCTGGGACCAAAATTTCGCATACATCTAAGTACCACCTGCCTCATCCTATCCAATGCTTCAAATGGCTCTTTTAAGTGTTTAAGGTTGCAGAAACAAGTGGCCAAACTAAGTGCCTGAAGGACCCCATCCCATCACTGTGAGTCCAGGCGATTCAGCAAGCGGTGCACTGGATTTGTATTAGTGATCCACAGGATTTAAAATTATGAATTTAGTGGTCCCTGAGGTCCGAAAGGTTGGTGACCCCTGGACTAGAAGACCCCCAAAGTTGCTTCCAACTCTGTTATTCTGTTACCCTGCTGCTGTGGCATGCCACCTCTCCTGTTGCTGGCAACTCTATGGCCATTTCAGGTTACGCAGCGGGAGTAATCAGGCACCACCCATTAGCCCATGGAACACCTGACAAGACCAGTACCAGAGCCAATTCCTATAATTTGTACTTTACAGTATGAAAAGAAAGAAAAATTGAATTCTGCATTTTTTACACTTTGTTTGACAACGTGCCCTTAACAGCACACCATGTTGTGGCCCATCAGCGGCCTATGTAGATTGTAGCCGATTCCGACAACGAGGAGACTGGTATGGTGCTGTGCCAGCAGCCTGTGCAGCTGGCGCTCGAGTTGGACAGTGAGGAGGCTGGAGAAAATGTGGTGCCAGAGGCGGAGATTCAGCCAGGCCCTTCAGAACCTCCAGAAGCTCCTTTAAGTGAAGAGGACGAAAAGGAGGAGCTTCTTCTCAATGCACAGGCGTGCGGAGCTGCCAAAAGGCAGGAGTAGCTCCTCAGGAGGAGGTCTCCTCGAGAGTAAGGCTTGAGGCTAATTGGCCACTCCCTTAGCCTATTTAAGAAGGAACGCCGCTTGCAACAAGCTGTAGAGAACAACTTTAGTTCACTCTCCTTCATGTCTGCAAAACTGTTGGCTTTCTGCCAACTCTAGTAAGTCTGTGATTCCTTATCTTAGAATTCTGGTAGGCTGTTAAGACAGTGCGTTAACAGCCTTTGAATGATAAAGACTAAGTTATTTTGAGTAAATAAGCTTTGTATAGAGTTTGTGTATGCTGCGTTCTTTGGGGTCCATAGCTGGGGCAGAACACACCAAGAAGAACAGATGGTAAAAGTACTTTGGCATTAAAGCATACCTGCATCTTGAGATTCAATGGTGATAATGCCCTCTCTTTCAGGGCCAAAGCCTTGAGTGGTCTTGGCTTGCACTTTGAACTTGTACGGAACATTTTCACTCAGGTAAGGCACTGTAAGGGTGGTCTCTGGGTTATCTCCCTCCACATAGATAGTCCTGGGTTCCCCTGAGCAGAGAAAAATAAAAAGAAGTAGGAAGATTAAGGAATAATACATATTCACCCATATAGTCCCATCTTCTCTTCATTCCAGATGCTTCATTTCAGGTGATTGTGGTTATTTTATACAGCTCTGAGCCATCTTACTCTCTCCTATAATTTGGGAAATGCTATATGTTAGCAGGGGAAGCTTTGCAACTGAAATGGAATGTATTTCAAAAGGCTGACATACCTTCACCCTGCAGAGTCTCACAAGTGACCATGTAGCCCAGAATTAAGCCATTGGGTTGGCGGGGTCTCTCCCAGCTTAGTTGAAGCGAGTCTGGACTCAAGGCGGTGAATACGAGAGGCCCTGGGGCACTGGGTGTGCTCAGGGTAAATGGTGACCCTATCAAGTAAAGAAGAATGGTCAGAGTTCTGTTAAGAGAAAATCAAACCAGTAGCAAGCAGAGGCACAGGCAGAAGTTCAAAGATTTAGAATTGTAGAATTTCCATTTGGGCTTTTCAAATATCTTATACATTTATTGCTTTGTTGAATCCAAAAACCAAACCCAATTACATTTGAAATTTACAGGAAAGTAAAGTACCACTCAAGATTCAGCGTAAGTAGTGGATGAACGTAGGACTGGCACTGGGGAAGCCCAGATTCTAGTCCTTACTCTACTATCAAGCTGACTTGGGCCACTCTTTCTCTTCGCCTAAGCCTATCTTAATTTTAAAATAAGGATGTGACACTCCCACTTCCCAAAAGAAAGGTGGAATATGAATAACGACTACATGCATGGTTTTCATGCAGAATAAGCACAGATTTATTTTGAACTCCCAAAAGGCACAGTTGAAAATCAACATTTGGAAAAGTAGTAGCATATCCCTGAAATTGTAAACATTTCAAAACAATTACCTGGCACGGGACTGAGAGGGCTGCGTGGATCCACCTGTGACTCAATGGTTATCACACCTTCTCTTTCTGGACCCCATCCCTCATCACTTTGGGCCTTTACTTTGAAGACATAGGAGTGGTTAGGTAATAGATCATCCACCACCACCGAGTTCTGCATTGGATTGGGAATTGTAAGTCTCTTTATTTCGCCTAAGAAATAGGAGAAAAACCAGCTGTCATCCCACAAACTATGATCATCAAAAATTGCAGCTTCTATTGGAAGAATAGGCACTGCTAGTGCATTCAGTAGGCTGAATGCTACAAGTCACATCTTGAGGCGGCCGTGCGTATGATCTTTTGTTCAGAAATAATTGTGAATGTTTCTTCTTCATAGATGATCACGTCCTTCAGTTTAGTATACGTCAGAAGGTAAACAGTGTCCTTGTCTCTTTTGTAACACGTTATCTCAGAGAAAAATGAAAAGAAAACTAAGCCTACCAATTCTGTCTGGATAATTTGGGAATTAAGGATTTTACACATTTTGAATTTAGTGTTTTCATCAGGACCCAAATTCACATTACTCCTATTCCAGTCAAATGGCTATCTTCTAATGGAGTCTTGGTTGATATATTAGGGAACATTATTCAACATATGTAGAAATGTTTATTTATTTATCAAATTTAGAAACTGTCCATCCCCCTCACAGAGGATCTATGAAGGTTCTGCCCCTGCTGTGATGTATGGAAACATCTGGAAAACATCAGGACAGGGAAATCTGTTTGGGCAGTTTGGAAACAGATCTCGGCAATAAGAAACACGATTTGGGGGTGTTTCATGTTACAAACCATGTTTGTAGAATCTGATGCCTTTTGACAAAACAGAGTTTTATGTATATATTTCCGATTCCCACTTTCACCACAGAGAGAGCTTCACTAACCTCCATTGAGAAGCTGGTATTGCACACTGTATCCTTGTACTTCTTTATCACAGTGGGGTTCCTGCCAGCTGACTTTCAGGGAGGTTGGTCCCAAGGCAGAGAACACCAAGCGAGTAGGAGTGTCTGGAACATTCAGAAGCTGCATTCTAGAATCTGAGGCAGATAGGAAATAGGAAGATAAGATCTGAAGGCAAGGAAAGGACAAAATGCAATCTTTCACATCAGCATGAGACCTCCTTTTGTGTCAAAGAAGAACAAGCAAAAGAGTAAGCTGAGATGTTGAGAATGTAGCCAGAAGAAATGAAGGGAACAACATGGCTGAAGAATCATTGGGACAATGAATGAAAAGCGCATCTTGGCTGCATTGCATGGTAACATGCAGCAGGAAAAGAAGAGGAGAGTTGGTTTTGTCAGGGATGCAATTCTTTTTCTTGTCCCCAGGTCCTAGATCCCCAGGGCATGGCAAGGTTCCAGGTGGAGATTAGATTAAACTCACCCACCTGACAAACTAGGGCCTAGCTGACCAGAACCTCATAAATATTTTCAGAGTCAGTGTAGTCCCTGGCCTTCTGGGGCTGAGGAGGGCAAAATGCACCCTGGACTGTTCATTTTGCAGAATTTTTGGTACTCTCTAAACTTGGTTGTTTGCTTGCAGATGTTTCATTACCCAACCAGATAACATCATTAATGTGAGTGAGTGTGGGTTTTGCTATCTTTTAATAAATAGTAGCTTGCCCTGACAGTTTGGGTTGGGGTGTAATTTCCTCCTTGGTGATTACTTGATTAGAATATTATTTTCTGCCTGATTGTTTGTCTTGTTTGATCCCTGCTTATTTGAATATGGGCTATTGGAGAGTATGTGTTCTAGTTTTTTTATTTCCATTTTTTGAATGGTGTGTAAATATGGTTTATTTCTGTAAATCTATTTGTCTGAATATCCTAGGAATTCCCTAGCATTTTTCAATTTGGCTTAGTTTATGATGTTAATAGTTTCCCAGTTGAAACTGGCTGAGTTTGGCTATGTGTTGTGAGATTAAAGTGTTCTTTTCATGTCTTTCTACTGCTAGTTGATTTTTCCTCCTTAAAAGAATAGATTCATCTGGCCAGACAACCCCTTCCTTTTTGTAGAAAAAGAAGTTTCCCTCTCTTCCAAATGTTTGTTTTGGATGCAAGCAACATTGCTTTCCTTTCTATAGAGGACAAGGTACTTTCAAATCCAGAGGAATTAGCTGTAATTATAAGGTTGTGAGCTATAATAAATATAGACCATGAACCAGTGGTGAAGTCCAAATTTTTTTACTACCGGTTCTGTGGGCATGGTTTGGTGGGCGTGGCTTGGTGGACATGGCAGGGGAAGGATACTGCAAAATCCCCATTCCCTCCCCACTCCTGGGAGAAGGATATTGCAAAATCTCCATTCCCACCCCACTCTGGGGCCAGCCAGAGATGGTATTTGCCGGTTATCCAAACTGCTCAAAATTTCTGCTACCGGTTCTCCAGAACCTGTCAGAACTGCTGGATTTCACCCCTGCCATGAACTTCAGCAACTCCTTAAACTATGTAAATATGTTTTAGAAGGAACACATTGTAATATTTGCCTGTTACGACCTGGGCAGATGGACATGGAGGCACAGAAGAATCACAAATTGTTAAGGATACTGCCTGAGCATTAACTCCTTTGATGTGTAATATAATAACTGAAGTGATGTCATTAGAACATGAAAGCCATCAAAGTGAAAGAGATGGAAGGTTAGAAGGCAGAGCAAATTAGCACACGCACACAAGCAGGTCTACAAGCAAAGCCACTTGAAGGAACTTAACGTGAATAAATTAGCAGCTTATGAGATGAGTCACTGTAGTTGGAACAAATAGCCTTGCAGTTGATCAGCCATGCTATGCCATTTGCTATACCTAAGTATTTGGAAATCCAAGAGGGCCCATCAGTCATGACTATAGAATCCCGAGCATCACTGCTGTCAGAGTAACCCATCACATTTGCCCTCCTAAAGCCCGCATCCTGCGGGATCTGGGGTATCCTTCTAGTTTCTTCGTACGTGGGAGAGAAAACATTCTTGGATGGGTCTAAAGGACATGCCAAAACAGAGAGAAAGAAAGACACACCATTGAGAGTACCAGAAAAGATTGCAGCACCAACACCAGGCACAGTGATTGAAGAAATAGCCTGAGGAAGAAGGAATATTTTTTCCCTATCTAATGCTGGCATGAGAGACCAAGTGAGAGAGAAAGAATTCAACTAACTGGAATCTCCTTCTGATAGAACACTGAACATTCTCAAATCACTAACAGATTAGCGCACATTAGTCACCTACCATGTCCAGACACCGTGGTATACTCCCTGGTTAGCGATGAGTTTCCGATCACTCTTCTCTCGTGGTATACATGTGGACTTAGATGATTTCGGGTTAAACTTCCACTACCGGCAGGGAAGGCAATATCCAGTCGGCCATTCATCAGGTGTTCTGGAAATTATTCAATTTGCTGCAGTTAACATCAGTAACCAGTGACTATGGATATGCATATCAGCCAAGTTAATTAATGACAATAAAGATACCTTAGAATGCCTGGGTTCATGGTCTGTGCTAAGTCATAATGTGGTTTAATTTTTACTTAGTGAACCCAAACACTATGGTTCATATATCAAGGTTCATGGCAGCATGCTGTATGAAATCAGCCAACTGTGGTTACATTAACCAATCCATGTTTAAATTAAAGAAATGATTCAGTAAATTATGTGAACTCAAAGTTTGTAGTATCAAAATGTAACGGAGTGCCTCCAGTATATTGATTTCAGTTGTATTTTTTCCAACCAGATATGTTGGTTGCAGATTAATGGGATTCAAAGCTGAAGACACCTGAAGAGTTATCAGTTTGGGAAACATTGACTTCATCTTTATTCTGCTTCTTATCTATAAAGTGCATTCTGGGGCTCCATAAGAACCAACATCCCTTATGTCGCATCACTTAAACCCACAATGCACAACAAAACATCAATATCAGAATTAAACAGATTGAAAGGGCCAATAGGAAAAGAGCAAGGGTTGGTTAGGTCAGAAGGTGGCTTCATGAATGCCAAATGATGTACCAAATACTAAAGGACATGATATTCAAGTAATGCTATATTTTTCAAAAAAGAAAATGTTATTACTACTTTAATCCACTTTAAAACATTGGAAAAGACAAGACATGGCTATAATTGTTAGCAATTTTAGAGCATTCATTAAGTTCCTGTAAGACTAATATATTCAAATGTCTGTCCGAATAGTTAGAGACCCTTCATATTCAGAGGCATTATATATACTGGAACCAAGTATTAATAACAAACACTCTGGCTGGTCATCTTTTTTTCCTTTTTTGAGTTCTTTAATCAACTCTGTTAACCACTATTGGAAATAATGAGGGCAAGATGAAGAGACATTCTTAAATGAATTACAGAAAATGCTCAAGGGAAGACATTAGTTCTGTCTCAGCAGCTCTAAGAATGTACTGAATTTTTAAACAGTTGTTGGAATCATTGGTTGATTATTCAATGTAATATCCCCTATTTGGCATTGTACATATATTTAGAGCTACAGGTTCCATGAAGGAGAAGCTGTCACATGAAGCAGCTGGAACATACCAGGATGGTGAAAGTTCACTAAGTTTAGCATGCTGAAGAAAATCATAGTTATGAGGTTGCTGTAGCAGATAACACTGTTGTTCTATGCTAGGGGTCCCCAAACTTGGCAACTTTAAGACTTGTGGACTTCGACTCCCAGCATAGCTGGCTGGAGAATTCTAGGAGTTGAAATCCACAAGCCTTAAAGTTGCCAAGTTTGAAGAGCTCTGTCCTATGCTAATAAGATTCCAAATGGGAGGCGGGGACTTCCAAATACTGTGGGGGGAGGGGTGGTGGTGGGGAGGGGTGTTCCTTCAGGTATAATCGATTGGGTAATGAATGCCAGCAATGGAAAAGGCTGAAGGAAATAATGGGTCTATCTATTTGACCACCATTCCCCCCTCCCCCCTTTTCACTTCTTCTACCAAGTACCTGGTAGGAAAGGAACTCAGATGTCTGAATTGATGGTTTGCAGAGGATTTTTGAAATTAGCTTGTGAGCTACATGAAGGGCAGAAATATGCAACGTGCGTCCCAAAAGAATTCTCTCTCTTTGTACTTCCATTCTGTTTCATTCAATTCCATGCCTAGGATAGCCCTGACTTTGGTATTAAATAACCAATCACAAGCAGATTCCATTACAAATGCTAAATGTATCATGCTATTAACATGTCCTTGTAGCTTGTAGAGGGGTAGCTTGAATAAATTATATTCCATGGCCCTGGAGTAGGAGGAGACATCATGGTTACTGGGAGGGAAGAAGGTGGCCATCCTTCACCTGGTTGGGGCTGGGAAGTCCCACTCCTTGGTAGGCTGCCGCTGGTTGCATCACTGTCCACTAGCTCAGAGAGGGTACTACCCTCATGGAGGAGACCCTCTGTGTCCGAGGAAAAGCAACTGCTGTCCGAGTAACGAGGGATCAGTTCTACTGGGAGTCTCCAGGTGACGTGACGAAGGTCCAGCTCGTCCCCCAGCAGCTGCACATATTTCCATCGAGAGCCTTTTGGAACAAGTGAAGGACTTGCGTTGGCACAGTCAGAAGAGTGCAGGAAGCGCCGTGAGGGGTACAAAGCAGCCGGTCCATCACTTGCAAACTACCTGCAAACCTGCCTTAGTGTTTCCTAGCAACACTTTAGGGGGAAGCACAATACTCAAGGAGTCCGCTACATATGCACTGTATTTGTGCTCAGATTATGAGTGGAAAGTGGAGGCCCAAGCAGGATCCATAAGGCCCACTCTCTGATTCTTGCCAATTATAGTAAAATTAAGACATCCCATCTTTTTAAAAGATATCTAAAATCAGTACATCATAGGACCAGAGGTGACCTTCCTTTACCCTCTTCATTTAATAGATATAACATTGGACGATAAATAAAAACAAAATCACAATTGGGTATAGAATCGAATTAGCCAAGAACTAGGGTAATACTTACTCTGTTTCCCCCAAAATAAGACCTCCCCTGATAATAAATCCAATTGGGCTTTTGAGTGCATGGCAATAAGGCCAAGCGCTTATTTCAGGGTTCAAAAAAAATATAAGACAGGGTCTTATTTTCGGGGAAACACAGTAGTAGTTGTCTGGATATCTCTGAAGCAAGATATCCAGTAACAGGGAACAAGAGTTAGTTTTCCAAACTGCCTTATTTGCACTAAGTTCATCATTAAGCCTTAGTTGTCACCAGAAAGAAGTAGTCCTCAACTCACAACCATTAGTTTAGTGATCAAAGTTACAACAGCATAAGTGATTTACGACCATATTTCACACAACTGTTGCAGTATCCCTATGGTTACTGACCAAAATTCAGATGCTTGGCAACTGACATGAATTTTTGACGGTTGCAGTGTTCTGGGGTCATATCATCACCTTTTGCAACCTTCTGAAAAGCAAAGTCAATGGGGAAGCCAGATTCGCTTAACAACCATGTGGCTTAATTAACCACTTGCAATGATTCACTTAAGAATTGTGTCAAGAAAAGTCATAACATGGGGGAGAAACTCACTTAACAATTGTCTTGCTTAGCAACAGAAATTTAGGGCTCAACTGTGGTTGTAAGTCAAGGACTACCTGTAGTGATTTCTTGATTCAATATGTAGCAGGACCCCGATATATATATTATATTATATAATATATATAAATAACTTGGGCTTCCTGCATGTTAGGCAGTTGAATTAACCTTCTGAGCCACAAGTTCGACGTTTTGACAAGGTCCCACTCGTCATCTTCAGGCTGGTGCCTTCGGCTTCATGCTTTTGCTTGCACAAGCACGAAGCCAAAGACACCAGCCTGAAGATGACGAGTGGGACCTCGTCAAAACGTCACCAAGATACTCTCAATCTTACAAGGGAAAAGACCCGAATACGCCAAGACTTGCATACCTGTACCCGTGAAAATCTACGAAAACAAATATACATATATATATATATACACACACACACATACTATGCAGAGTCACCTGGAAACAAGTTTCACTGAGTTAATACAGTAGAACATGCTCCCAAATATGCATGTATAAGAGTTCAATGTAAGAACAGAAGGGGGAAATTATTTTCAAACTTTCTGTATCATATCAATAATTTATACTAATGGCCATAACTGTACGGCAGCTGAATCATGCTACATTCAGTTGTGATTATGCCCGAATAAATCTATCTATGCATTACCGCAACCTTAAAATTACTGTATTACCTTATCATGTATCTACACACACACACACACACACACACACACACACACACACACACACACACAGAGTGCTGAACTGAAGCACTGAATTATAGAATAAAATATCAGAACATCACTCTGCTTGCTGAAGAATTTTTTCAAATTGCAAAATCACATACACGAAGTTGACTTATGACTGCAGTTGGGACCAAAATTCCATTGTTAAGTAAGACCATTAAGTGACTCACATCCAATTTTAATCCTTTTTGCCATGATTCATTAAGTGAATCATTGCCGTTGTTAAGACATGGTTGTCAAGCAAATCTGGATTCCCCCATTGACTTTGCTAGTTGGAAGCCAGTTGGGAAGGTTACAAATGGTACTAACCCTGAAATGCTGCAACCCATTGTAAACACATGCTGGTTGCCAAGTACCAGAATTTTAATCCCATGATCGTGGGGATCTGTGACAATTTTAAGTGCAAGGAATGGTTATAAGAAGTCACTTTTTTCAGTCCCTTTGTTTCTTTGAAAGGTCATTAAACAAATGGTTGTATGTTGAAGTCTACCTGTAAAAAGATCAGGTTCTTCAGAACCCTTGACTGTATGGAAATTATTGTATCCACCTCCCTAGCAATCAGTGTTCGATGTCAGAAAATTATAACTCTGCCTTGTGGATGGGCTAAAAGGGTCAGTTTCATTTCAGCTGAAGACTATGCAATTTTCTAATATCTGTAGTATCTGAAGTGGCTTGTTCTCAAATATGTATACACTGAAAAAGAATAATTAAGGAATAAATGAAGTGGAGCCAGCTACTTCATGGAAGTATTATTTCCAAAGCTGAATATAAATAAGGCTGAAGGAACAGCTAAAATGGGAAGGGATGACCAAGGTAATGCTTGGGAGAACTATCTCTCTACAGCAGATAGACAAGGTCCAGAAAGAACAAATTCTTTAAGGGGAGCCTTAAGGAGAGTAAGGGGGAGGAAACTACATTCTTTGAACAGTAGAATCCAGGAATCAGCTAACAGGAAACATTGATATTTGATCTTGATCAGTTTTCAGAGATAATTCTTTACATATCCCTAACACATCCTAATCAATAGTGGGTTTCAATTTCGTTTGCTAATGGTTTGCTCGTGCATGCACGCACCGCTTCTGCACATGCGCAGAAGCTTTTGCGCATGCACAGAGATATCCGGGCGGGAGGGCGGAGCCTCCTGCTGCCACCACTACCGGTTCGCCGGATCTGGGGCGAACCGGTAGCAACCCACCACTGATCCTAATGTGGGAAAATATTTTAACATAATATAACTGATTATTTTAAATAACAATTATTAGAACATTTTATTATGTATTACCATCAAGATCTTTCGCTTTAAAAACGCACAATATTTCCATGATCTACATTCCTCTTGAATTATTGACATTGTACCTTGACTCAAATAAAATCACAATATGGAATCCATAGATAGAAGCATTATGCCTACCTTTGTTCAAAAGGTTCGAAAAGTCTTTTGTGGCAAGGAATAGAGCAGGGTAATTTTCAGAAGTAGGCTTTGGTCATGACTAAAAATGACTAAGAATTGGAACTACATGCTGAACCAAAACCAAATGCAAAGTACAATGCACTTGAAACTTCTTTTGAAGAAATCAATCATATGCCTAAATACAACAACTTACAAACTGGTTTTCATGTATATTGTTTATCTGACCTTCAAAACGGCAATAATTTTGAAACTCTATGACGGGTAGGGTCCTTTTCTATCTACTACCCAGGTCAAAATGCATATATTACTAGACTACAGGGGCCCATGGCTTAAATGGTATGGATTGATGGGATTAAGAATTGGTTTACCAACATAAGCTCCTCACCTCTGGTGTAGATAATGGGATTTGGTTGTTAGTCTTTTTGTCCTGGTTTAAGTTATTATTGGTTTTGGAAGGCATATTTTGGTTTTTGGATTTGTACTACCTCAACGACTGATAGCAGTTAACCAAGAAATGGGAAACTAAAAAAACCTTGACCTATGGGACCTGTGAATGCCCCAACACTGGAAATTTTTAAGAAGAGATTGAATAACCACTAGTCTGAAGTGGTGTAGGGTTTCCTGCCTGGGCAGGGGGTTGGACTAGAAGACCTCCAAGGTCCCTTCCAACTCTGTTATTCTATTCTTTAAAAAATGATGAAATAATTAATTGTGATGACCTCTAAGCTGAAACTTTTATTCCTGAAAAGTAGATGGCAAAGGCATTTAACAAGTCCAGTGGTCTGACGGTGAATTTGTTCCATGACCATTGGGGTTAGATAGAAATGATGGTTTGCTATTTTGCTACATTAGAGGAAAACCCATGAAATGCAAGTACAAAAACAATTTATAGTCCTGTTTTGCTATCAGGGGTTGATAAACCACCAAACAGAAAACTTCCACTTCAGAAGTATGTGTATGAATATTCTGAACTATGAAACCTTCACACAAGCATTCCTCAGATTTTTTTTAGAGAGGCTAATAGTTTCCAAGGGAAAGCACAGGTCAAGTCTAGCCCCCTAATTTCAATATGGACCCACCAGATGCCTCCTGATACATCTGGGTGCCTGAATTATAGCATTTTGGAATTTATTTATTCATTTATTTATTTTAGTCCAGAAGGTACTGTTAAATAGGTTGGACCTGATAACTTAAATGGACTTTTTATTTTTATTTTTCTTGCCTTGCCATTTTCTCTTAGAACTTCTGTAAGCAATAATACTAGCTCTGCCTTAATAGCAATAGTAATAGCACTTTGATATATATATCGCTTCCCAGTGCTTTACAGTCCTCTCTAAGTGGTTTACAGAGTCAGCATATTTTCCCCCAACAATCTGGGTTCTCATTTACCCATCTTGGAAGGATGGAAGGCTGAGTCAACCTTGAGCCTGGTGGGATTCGATCTGGCAATTGCAGGCAGCTGGCAGTCAGCAGAAGTAGCCTGCAGTACTGCATTCTAACCACTGTGCCACATTCCAACCACTGCACTTAAGGTATGTTTGCTTCTAAATAATAGGAAAAATATTTACTAGCTTGTTAATATGGTGCTCTGCATGTTCAAGTTGTTTTGTATTGCCCTTGCATATACATTTTCTCTTCTATCCAAACATCATTAAAAAATGGCCACCAAACATTTTTTGCAAGCTATAATGAAGCATACTGTACCAGAGTCATCTGAGACGCTGGGATGCTTGCTACCAGCTGGTGAACGCAATACATCTGTGCTGTACATTAGAAAGCTGTCATAGTCTTCTCTTCCTTGTGCATCAATTATTGGTACATCAGGAATGATAGGAACTGCAAAAAACAAACAGACAGACAGAAAGAAAGAAAAAGAAAGAAAGGAAGGAAGGAAGGAAAGAAAGAAAGAAAGAAAGAAAGAGAAAGAAAGAAAGAAAGAAAGAAAGAAAGAAGAAAGAAAAAGAAAGAAAGAAAGAAAGAAAGAAAAAGAAAGATGAATTGGATTTTTTGATACATTCAAACATAATGAATCCCAACCGTACTTTAAATCAAGACTCTGTTTGATCTAATACTTTGATCTAATGTGAGATATAGTTCACTGGAGAAAACTATGTCAGCATTGAAGGTCTTTGATGTAAAAATATGCAAGTTAGGATAACAATACTGAAATGTGGTGGAATAGTATGATATATTTAGCATATACCATTAAAAATAAAAATATTAATAAATAGCTTGATGCTTGTTACCAGTGGTATCACATTAAACAGAGAATATATGCCACAAGTTACAGTTGTCTAAATGCAGACTATAATACTGATTGTATAATATCCACACAATAGGAGCAGAAACTCAAAGGAATATATGTTAACAACGCTGCATTAGTTTAAGTCCAAAACAAAAATACTGTATAGTAGAAGCTTGACCATACATACACATATGAAAAGCTATGATAAAAACTCACTGGACATAGGGCGTTTTGGTTGTGTAGCCAAGTTAATTGTAGCTTCTCTTTCTGGCCCCCATCCAGCTCCATTCTTTGCCTTCACTGTATAACGGTAGGGCTGTGATTCCCGTAAATTTTCAATCAGAACCATCCGCTTCTTGAGTTCCTCCACCAAGACTTTCTTTATGGGGCCAATGGGTCCTGAAAATATGTATGTGTATATAAATTTGATACATATCTGGTCACTTTTCCTTTTCAACGCAGCCAGCTTTCCTGCTTAAGGGAGGACTAGAATTCATGGTCCCCTGGTTTCTAGGCCAGTTCTTTTACTACTGAATCAAATGGGCTCTCAATGTTGTATGGATTGGCAGAATCAATCGAATGGCCTCTTCAACAAGCAAAAGGTTTTATGTGAAGAAATAAGCACCAGGGTGTTGTGGCCCATCAGCGGCTTGTGCAGCTAGTAACTGATTCCGACAGCGAGGGGGCTGGTGTGGTGCTGCACCAGCAGCCTGTGCAGCTGGCACTCGAGAGAGACAATGAGGAGGCTGGAGAAGATGTGGTGCCAGAGGCGGGGATTCAGCCAGGGCCTTCAGAACCTCCAGAAGCTCCCATAAGTGAAGAGGAAGAAGAGAAGGAGCCTCTTCTTGATGCACGGGTGCGCAGAGTTGCCAAAAGGCAGGAGTGGTTCCTCAGGAGGAGGTCTCCTCGAGAGTAAGGCTTGGGGCTAATTGGCCACTCCCTTAGCCTATTTAAGGAAGGACGACGACTGAGGCAATTTGCAGGGAACAACTTCATTCACTCTCCTTCGCGTCCAGATCTTAGTTCTCTTATCAGTTTCCTGCAAATTGCTTCTGGGCTTTCTGCCAACCATAGTAAGATTACGATGATTTATTCTTTGGATTCTTGTAGACTGTTAAGAAAGTTAATTAACAGCCTTTATTTGAAAAAGACTGATTTAATTTAGTAAACTAAGGTTTGTAGAGAGGCTAGAGAGAAGTTCCCTGAAGAGAGGCTCCAAGATGAGTCCGAAAGCTCAGAAGACAAAACTTCTGGTCCCGATAACTGACCCAGATTGGATCCTACAACATTATCCTGTCTATATTCCAGGGGTGAAATGCTCCCGGTTCAGACCGGATCACCCGATCCGGTAGTGATGGCAGCGGGTGGTTCAGAGAACCGGTAGCAAAAATCCCTGCCCCCCACAACATGCCCAGCTGAGCCGCGCGATCATCAGAGGCTTTTTTTTTAAAGCATTTTTTCTACAACCTCTTTGGCCGAAAAAATGCTTTTAAAAGTAAAAAAAAAGCCTCTGATGATCGCGCGGCTCAGCTGGGATTGTCAGAGGTTTTTAAAAGCATTTTTTCTACAACCTCTTTGGCCGAAGAGGTTGTAGAAAAAATGCTTTTAAAAGCCTCTGACGATCCCAGCTGAGTTGCTTGATCGTCAGAGGCTTTTAAAAACATTTTTTACAACCTCTTCGGCCGAAGTTAAAAAAAAGTTAAAAGTTAAAAAAAAAAAAGTTGGCCACGCCCACTCAGTCACATTACCCCCACCACCAAGTCACACCCACAGAACCGGTAGTAACAAATTTTACATTTCACTACTGGTATATTCCCCTTTATTCGTGCAATATGACTGTTAAATAAGAAGTCTAAGCAAGAGAAGCAAAGTCAAGCTTCATACAAAGACCAATCAATTGTATCCAACCTGTGGAGAGATGGGTGTGTGCTATACTTCCTATCATCACCATCGGGGGGTTTTATAGTCTGCACCTTGGATTGACAGTTTTGATATCATAGGTTTTAATAGCAATGGCCTCCAGTGATGCCAATGGCCTCCAGTGATGCCTATGCAACTGAAATACTACCATGAAGATATTGAACACTATACATGATTTTTAAGGATAGCCCACAGATTTCATGCTTACTGTTTTCCTCGTTGACGAGTCCATAGCTGACCTCATAAGCTGTGATTATGCCATTTGTTTCTGCAGGCTCAGCCCAGCTCAGCTGCGTCACAGTGGAGGATATGACATTGAAGGCCAAGCGCCCAGGCTCACTAGGAACTGTAGAGATGAAATGTAGAAACTATTCTGTAGCGACTAACACACAGTGTAGAAATGTTTGAATGCCTTTGAATGCATTGAGGGAAGAATATGAAGAGTTGGTTACCTGAAGCTGGAAATAGCACAAGAGCTATATAATACAGTAATTTTAAATCAGATGCCCTAAAAATCAACCAAGTGCTTAATTTAGGAGCATTTTCAATGAACTGCTCCTCATAGGAATTCTAAACTTAAAATCTGGAGTTTGATGGATAAGTGTATATTAGTATTAGGTATTAGTAAAAAAAAGAAGCAACTGACATAGAAAGAGCCAGCCAGAAGACTAGTTCAATAATGATGAATAACAACACAAAATAAATTGTTATAGGGACTCCACATTCATCCTATTCCAACAACCTAGGAAAACCACCAGGTTTTTAATGATTGTCTTAATGTCATCAGACTGAGCCGTGATGGTGCAGTGGTAAGAGTGCAGTACTGCAGGTTACTTTTGCTGCCTGCCAGCTGCCTGCAATTTGGCACTTCAAATCTCACCAGGCTCAAGGTTGACTCCGCCTTCCATCCTTCCAAAATGGGTAAAATGAGGGCCCAGATTGTTGGGGGCAATATGCTAATTCTGTAAACTGCTTAGAGAGGGCTGTAAAAGCACTGTAAAGCAATATATAATTCTAAGTGCTATTGCTATTTGGATGAGAGCCAGTGGTGGGATTCAGCCAGTTCGCACCACTTTGGGAGAACCGGTTGTTAACTTTCTGAGCAATTTGGCAAACTGGTTGTTGGAAGAAATCATTAAGGCAGAGAATGGGCATTGGTCTTACCTTAAATGCCAGATTTCTTGAGGGGGGTGACATTGTCCAGATGAGGGTTATATCAGTCGGATCTGATGCTGGCTGAGTCATAACTTTTGACCACTCCCCTTGCTCCGCCCCTTTCATGCTCAGTTTTGACGAAGGAAGGCCACCAGAAGTATCTCCAACAGGAACCCCCGTTATCAGGAGGAAGTAATTCGGTCCAACGGGACAACTGGAAAAAAACTACTGAACAAGAACAATAAACTGTACAGGCACTGAGACAGAGGGAGGGGCTGGACAATGTCACCCCCCTCAAGAAATCTGGCATTTAAGGTAAGACCAATGCCCAATTTCCTTGATGAGGGTGTGACATTGTCCAGATGAGGGACATACCAAAGATTTGGCTGTCTCAAGGGCGGGATGTCGAAGGGCCTGGAGAGACCCTCGCACGATGCACCTGCTGCAAAACCCTCCTGCCAAATGACGCTTCAGCAGAAGCAAAGGTATCTATCTTGTAATGACGAATAAATGGCGAGGGGGTAGACCAGGTGGCTGCCCTACATACCTCCTCAAGGGAGGCCTGAGTTGCCCAAGCTGCTGAGGTAGCAGCACTCCTAGTGGAGTGGGCAGTAATGCTATTGGGAACAGGAATCGCCTGGGCCTGATATGCCGAGGCGATGCAAGCCCTGATCCATCTACCAATTGTGGCAGAAGAGACTTTGAGCCCTAGGGAGCCTGGCAAAAAGGAAACAAACAAAGCCTCTGACTTCCTGAAGGGAGCAGTCCTTTTGATATAAATCTTTAGGGCCCTCCGTACATCTAAGGTATGCCACCTTCGTTCCAAGGCATGAGAGGGCCGGGAACAGAAATTGGGCAAAATAACCTCTTGGGCCCTGTGAAAGGGGGAATTAACCTTGGGAATAAAGGAAGGGTCCAATCTCAAAATAACTGTGTCCGGCCGGAAAACACAGAGATCCTCCCTAACTGAGAGGGCTGCCAGCTCCGAAATGCGACGGGCTGAAGTTATGGCTATAAGGAAAACCACCTTAAGGGTGAGAAAGCGAAGGTGAACCGTGCGGAGGGGTTCAAAGGGAGTCTCAGTTAAAGCGTTAAGGACCTTGGGCAAATCCCAAGTAGGGTATCTATGAATCGAGGAGGGCCGCAAGAGCCTGGCTCCTCGCAGGAACTTTTTTATCACAGGGTGCTGAGTGAGTGGTCGGCCGGATGGACTGGACAAGGCCGTAGACAGAGCCGCCACATGTCTCCGAAGGGTACTATGGGCCAGACCACGGTCAAACCCATCTCTGAGGAACTCCAAGATCTGGGCAGGTGAGGCTGAAACAGGATCTATCTGCCGGGAACGGCACCACCTATAAAAGGCGAGCCAGGAGATATTGTAGAGTCTGACTGTGGATTTACGTCTGCAGGCTTGAACAATGTGAATCACCCTATCTGAATAATTGTCCTGCCTTAGACGGGCCCCTTCAAGCGCCATGCAGTCAGTTGGAGCCACTGAGGGTCCGGATGAAGAAGGTTCCCCTGACGCAGTACAATCTCGTCTGGTGGAATCCTCCAACGGTGAAATGTGGAGAGACTGACCAGGTCTGCGAACCACGGACGGCGTGGCCAGTGGGGAGCCACGAGGATAATTTCTGCTCTGTCGGCGATGACCTTCCGAATCAGGGCCGGAATCAGAGGCAGCGGTGGAAAGGCATAGTGAAGACCCGGCGGCCAGGTGAGACGGAGAGCGTTGACCCCTTCCGCCCCTGGCGTCGGGAACCTCGACAAGAAGCAAGGAAGCTGATTGTTCAGGTGTGTGGCGAAGAGATCTATGGCTGGGATGCCGAACCTGTTGCAAATCTGATGAAATATGTCGGGATGAATCTGCCACTCGCTGTTGTCCACCTCTGTCCTGCTCAGGAAATCCGCCTGTGTGTTTTCCGACCCCGCAATGTGGTCCGCTCTGATGGAGAGGAGGTGTTGTTCTGCCCACTTGCCCAGGCGAAATGATTCCTCCATGAGGCGCTTTGAGTGGGTGCCCCCTTGACGGTTGACATGTGCCTTCGCCGCCATATTGTCTGTCAACACCAGAACATGACGGTGTTGCACGAACCGGTGAAAGTGCGTGAGAGCGAGACGAATGGCCTTCAGCTCCAGCCAGTTGATAGGGTTGGCGAGGTCTGATGCAGACCAACGGCCCTGAGCCACGTGTGATGCAAGATGAGCCCCCCATCCGTGAAGGCTGGCGTCTGTAGTGAGTACAAGTCGGTCGTGATTCATGAAGAGACACCCCTTGTCGAGAGAAGGCGATGTCCACCAACCTAGCGATCGCCTGACTGAAAGTGGAACTTTGACTGTTAACATGGTGTGAGCTTGGCGTTTCTTTTGAAAAGGAAGCAGGAACCACTGCAAGTGGCGAGCGTGAAGGTGTGCCCATGGGACGATCTGGACGCAGGAGACCATCTTGCCTAAGAGCTTGGATAGAGTGGCCAATGGAACTGATGGAGTTCTGCGAATGAGAGCTACTAGGTCCCTGATGTCTGACCGTCGTTCCAAGGTTAGGTAGACGGTCCCCTGGGCTGCGTCTATGATGGCGCCAAGATGGGTGATCCTGGTGACTGGCACTAACTGACTTTTTTTGTAGTTGACCAAGAACCCATGGTTGTTCAGGGTTTGAATCGTGAGGTGTAGGTCGTGTAAGGCTTGCTCTTGAGAGTGAGCCTGAATCAGAATATCGTCCAGGTAAGCCTGGATCCTTACCGGTTGTTGTCTCAGGTGAGCCGCCACCACCGCCAGGACCTTTGTGAAGACCCTTGGTGCAGATGCCAGTCCGAAGGGAAGAGCCCGGTATTGAAAATGCTTTCCTGCATAGCTGAATCGGAGATACTGTCGATGCTTTGGCAGGATGGGAAAGTGAAGATAAGCCTCCATGAGGTCTATGGAAACTAGAAAATCGTTGGGACGAATCCCTTGAAGAATAGAGGTTAGTGAACACATTTTGAATCTGCGATACACTATGTATGAGTTGTGATTTTTTAAGTCCAGAATGGCTCTCCACCCCCCTGACCGCTTTGGAACTACGAACAGGATGGAATAATACCCCTGTTTCCATTGATCGTGGGGGACCTCCTCTATGGCGTGAATCTGTAGTAGGTGCTGAACTGCTTGGTTCATTAATTGACGTCTGGATTCGCTTTTGGAAGTTGGACATTGAAGAAAGCGGGTTGGAGGCCTGGAGAGAAATTCCAGGGGGAGGCCGAATTTTACAACTGAAAGAACCCAAAGGTCTGAAGATGACCTTTCCCACCTGTCCGCGAAGAGGGACAGGCGACCCCCTACTGGAGGATTTGGTAGTGAGTCACTTACGACTGCGGGACTGGCGGAAACCAGAACCCCGAAAGGACCGTTTGGGCTGGAATTGTCTGCTCCTGTCCCGAAAATATTGACGGTCCGAGGATCGATAGGATCCCTGAAGATATTCCTGCCTGGAGGGGCCTCCCTGGGGGTAGGAACGAAAGGAAGGCCTTCTGTAATATGGAGAGGGTCTTCCTTCAGCCCGTTTGTATGTTGAGGGCAAAATTTTTTCGCTTGTCCCGTGTCTCTACAAGAAGAGGGTCAAGTGATTCCCCAAATAGTTTGTTTGCAGAATATGGAGCTGCAGCCAAGCGCCATTTGGCCTTAAGGTCAGCAGGCCATTGGCGAAGCCAGAGCATCCTGCGGGCTGAAACTGTAGAGGCTAAGGCTCTGGATGCAAATTTGGCTGAATTCAAGGTTGCATCAGCCGAAAATTGAGTGGCAGCAATGAGTTTATTAATATCCTGATGAAGGCGAACCTCACTGGGGGGTACCCTTGCCTGTAACTGTTGAAGCCAAAGGATGGTAGTTCTATTAAAAAATGAGGCTGATGAAGCTGATTGAATTGCCCATGCCGAGGCCTGATGGTTCTTTTTAAACAGAAATTCTAACTTTTTGTCTTCTGGCCTTAGACCTTCAGAAGTATCCCCAGTTACGTATGAAGAAGAAGAGGAAAGGGCCGCTACAGGACTGTCTACAGGTGGAACTTGCAAGAGTTGAGCAAACTTTGGAGCAACAGCATAATATTTCTTATCTGAACCATGTGCAGATGCCATGGTTGCAGGCCCAGCCCACTGTTTCTTTACCACGTCTATGAACAGTTGTGGAGTTGGTACATAACAAAGTTCAGGGGGGGGCTCAGAAAAAGGTCCCTGTAGTCCACCCTTTTGAGCCTCCTGCATCTCTTGAAAGTATTCATCTTCCTTTAAGGCGGCTGTTAAGCGAGCCTTATGCAATAAAGACTTGAATTTATTGGGGGGAAATAATCCTGTAAAGGCAGGTTGATCTTGGATTATCCCCTCATCATCTGATAGGTCAGAATGTCTCTCTTCCTCAAACACAAAGGCTTCACTAACTCTGGAGGCTGCAGGAGAATGAGAGCCAGTAAGACTGACTGCAGGAGAAATTCTAATACGGGCAGATCGCTCTGAAATAGCAGAGCCAGAGTGGTGACCATGAATATTGGCTGCCATTCTAGAAGCAATGGCCTGTTCAATCAGAATTCTCAATCCTTCTGGCACATTTTTTAAAGGATCTTCGGGGGTTAGCACAGGCATAGAGGATTCACCTGTTGAAGCAGCTGCAGCTGCAGGCCCACCAAATACAGGAGTTGCAGGGGTCATTAATTGACTTGCAAAGGGGTTTTGCAAATTGCTTTGGTCTTGTTGAAGAACATTACCCTCTCCCTCCGAAGACCAGGCCTGGCTAACAGTTGAAATGGGAGGAGGGGGGGTAGATGGGGGGGGGGGTCCCCTTACCAGGCTCAGTTGCAGGCACTTCACTAGCTTGCTTTTCTAGAGATTTATGCCTCTTTGCTAAATCCTTCTCCTCAGGCTTAGAAAGGTGCTTACGTTTGGAAGTTGATTTCTTCCCAGTGTACATAGTATTTTCCTCCCCATGGGAAGAGCGATCCGCCATCTTTAGTATACTCACTGCGACCACGATGTCGACTGGAGAAATAGCTTTTGGTTTCAGTTTCACCACGTGGTTGAAATTTGAGATGGCAACGACTCTGGCGTTAAGCACGATGGCTGCCAGGTCACACTTGAGCAGGAGGAAAACTCTGCTCTGGAGGTATCTGTCTAGGCAAGCCTAGAAACGGACCTCCTCAGCGCCCCCCCAGCCACAAAGAGAAAAAAATTAAAATACTGGCTGGAAATGCCACAGGGGGAGGCAAGAAGAAGCTTGCTGCCCCCCCCCAAACTTGCAGACTCGTTGGTGGCAAAGCGGCAAAAATTTCCTTTTAAAATTGCCGCGGGGCTTCAATTAACCGCTCTACAGCTGATCAGCGGTTTTGGGATCGCTGTAGGGTGGGCGGCGGCCCGATTTGGCAATTTCCCTTAAAATTAGGTAATTGCTATTATTGTTGGTGGTATTGTGGTCTAGGGCCCCTTAAACAATCGTTGGTGGGATAGATCAAAAAAATCCCCCCCAAAAAAGACAGGAAAAAGAAAAAGGAAAAAAGTTCCCTTTTAAAATGGGGCTTTCAAAATGGCCGCCGCCAGGAGCGAAGCAAAGCCTGCAGCTTAGGAGGCTCTAGCAAAGCAAAACCGGCAGGCTACAATAGAAGGGGGGGAAAAATTTAAAGGGGAAGTAACAATTTTAAGCTATAGAAATAAAAAGGTGGTCAAAAAGACTTACAATTCTGTGATATTGAACAGACCTGGGCTGTATAGCCAGATCTGTAGGAGATGTTTCTCTCAGGCCGACTGAGTCTAAACTGGGCATGAAAGGGGCGGAGCAAGGGGAGTGGTCAAAAGTTATGACTCAGCCAGCATCAGATCCGACTGATATAACCCTCATCTGGACAATGTCACACCCTCATCAAGGAAATCCGGTTGTTAAATTACTTGAATCCCACCACTGATGAGAGCCATATGGGTCTCTGGGGGTGATGACATTCCAGAGGGCAAATATTGTAACAGCCCAGTTCCTAGATCCCAAAGGTGACACTGTTTCATTGTCAGAATCTGGGAACATGCTCTCTCTGCCTGAAGTCACCGGATGGGCAGAAATAATCAGATTCTAACTCCAATTTAAAACGCTGGCTGCTTCAACATAATCTTCCTGACCATTGCCTTGTTTTGAACTTCTCTATCCACTTCATCTGAATATGATTCATGAATATGCTGATGCTTGATGGATTAGGCTTGCAGAAAGGAGTCCTTAGATGGCCCATTTTTTTCTGTCAAACTCTGTGGGATGTGACCTTACCTTCCTCAAGTGTTCGACAGTGGACCACCTTAGAATAAAGCCCTTCGCCCAAAGCATTATAGGCACAGGATTGCATTTCATAATCACAGTAGGGGTACAGGTTGGTCAGCTCTGCCGAAGGTACTTTGGAATCAAACAGATGAGCCTCTGATTCAGGATCTCCTTGGATCCAATATTTCACCTGCAGTCCAAAGAGAAAGGCTTTCCCTGTTAAAAATTTGCACCAGTGGCCAAGAAGTATTTACCATCACATAATTAAAAGATAAACAGGGAAATTCTCATTCACAAACGTTACTATCTCTAAATGAATAGAATAAAGCCAAAACTCTGCAATGCAATTCCATAGTTTTACAAGATGTTCTTTTTATCCAGGCCTTCAAAATGTAGTGAACCTAACCTCTGCATTTTCAGCAATAATCCTAGGAATGTTAGGATGCAGATACCCAAATTACTATGGTAATTTTTAAGACTGCTTTCTCTTGTTTTTATAACAAAGGGAGTCATGAAATCAATTCAGAATACAATCTATGATGAGATACTGTTGGATGCTTGGTTGGGTAGATAATATATTAATAATATATTGAAAACTATGTTCTGTAACTTTAACTGCTACAAGATGACTAATTGGCTGTGCTAAGCAGACATAAAAGAAGGCAGGAAGTTCATTCACTTCTGCTCCTGCTATTAGAAGATTGAACTGCTGAAAGGAACCATGTCTGTGTTACTGAAGAGAACTGGAATTGTAAGCAAACTATGTTTTTGTGTTGAACCGTGATTATTTGAAGAAGTGTTATCTTTGTTTTGAGAAGCCAAGTTTGTTTTGTTTTACTACAAGAAAAGACTGTTTATTTTTCTTTAAACATTCAGAGTCTGTGAGTATCTTGTGTTTTGCTAAGCAACGTATTTATTCGCTGTCTGGTCCGTTGTACCACTTTGCAGAGGGCAGTTTTACCCTCAACAGATACTGACTTGTTCACTTACTATTATATTGAATAATGTACAGACCTAATGGGCAGCACTTACTCTGACTCTTCCAACATTCTGCTTTTCCCCACATTCCTCAGTGGCAGCAGTGGCATTTTGTACAGCCTGACATTACACAAATGTGCTGGGATTGCATTTCCCACAATTCCCAAGAATTTGACCTAAATATCTCGGGGCCACCACACTGGAGAAGAGTTAAGGCTTGCATATCTTTAATAGCTTGAAGCCACACTTAATGTTTTGGTAGAGATGGAGTTTTAGTTGATTTTAAATCCAGGTCAAAATATTTCAGAATTTATGTTGCAGTTTTGTTGTTTCTTATGTCAAAATGATGTGACATTATGCCTCTGATTATATTACTGTATAAAAAGTATAACATTGAAAATACTGAAGGGCATTTTTGAAAAATGGAATCCTAAGTTAGTATCCACAATGTTAATAGTGATGCTTGCTTCTACAGATAGACTATGTGCAAAAGATGTTATGGAAGAAATAGGAAATGAGGAACAAGTTTTATTTCACAAGGCAGAGATGGCATTGAAAGTGGATCTACAAATGATAGAATATGGTTGTGTGTTCTTATGGAATGGCTATGCCACTTGTTTGATCCGAGTGAGGATTGTTCTCTTATGCATAAGGAAAGACATAAGAGTGAATGTAAAAACAACAGGGAATTAATTTATTAATAATATTTGGAAAACTAAATTCTGATTAAATGAGTGTAAGCAATGCGAATGAATAAAATCTTTAAAATGCAATGAAAGGTTCTTACGTTTTTTTAAAAATTAAAACAAAGGTGTATTTTCAAAGACATTAATATCTATAAATAGATACTATAGTTACTGAAATTGTATAGTTAATACTCAGTATAACATTAGTAAAAGATGAACCATATTAAGGTACATTGAGGTTTCATGATATTAAAAAAAGTATAAATTATCGAGTTTATAAATACTTTAAAAAAGAAGATAAAAAAGAATAACACAGCACCCTAAAACTAATATAGATAAATATTTAATTTCCAACTTTCCCCTCCTTTGTACTCCAACAGATTTACAATACCTATTGGCAAAAACTTTAGAAAACATCTCCTAAGTGTTTGTATTTTTCTTGCTTGCACTGCAGTGCAGTTTTTTTTCACGAGCCTTGACTTTAGCAGATGGGATAAGCAAGAGTGTGCTTCCCTCCATACACAACAGTCTCATATGTCCTTAGTGCTTTACTTTCCATACCTTGTATCCTGCTGGTTTGCCTGGTGGAGGCAACCAATTGAAGCGGATCTTTCTAGAGCTTAAAGCCTGTGCATTTGGATTAAGAGGTGCTATAAGAGTGCCTCTAGGAGAATATGGAAACTGAATCTCTGATGACACATTTTCTGGAAGGAGAAAAAAGGTAGAGGAAATTACACTACTTTATAAACAGCTAAAAAAGAACAAGTCAAATGGTAAAGGATTAAGACATGTCATAAACTGGGAGAAGCACAATAGTTACTTCTCATTCACACATCTGTAAATTGTGAGAAAAAACTTTAGAAAAAACTTGAGATAATAAGAGTTACGTGGTATTAAACACAGGCCACATTCTCAGGGCTAATATCTCTCAGGGATACTAGATATTCTATTTCGCCTGATAAAAGGCTGTTGCTAGTTCTTTTTTACTTTTTGCACAATATTTAACATTTCGAGACTGTTTTCACAGAAACAACATAGTTCACAGAAGAAAAATACATCTCAATATATGTTTTGAAGATGAAATATGTGTATCCGGTATCATTATAAGGGAGGCTGTGCAAAGTTATTTGGCACAGCAAAAATTATTGGAATCATAAAACGATGCACGGAAATACTGTATTGTAGAAATCTGTTGCAAGGTAATATTGGTCATACTATATCATACTATATGATAGATCACTCATTTATGTAAATTATGCAAAGCAAAAATAAAACAAGTAATTATAAAAATTATTGCAGTGAATCATTAGCAAAATTATTTCTCTAATTGTATCCTGATTACCACATCAAACAATGGCTAAAGGAATATCATTAAAACACTCACAATTACGACAGGACATACATGACACAACACCTCTGGCTGAAACTCAAAGCAACATTGAACAAATGGGATTTGACTGTTTAATGACCACACTGCTAGCTTATGAATGAAAATATATTTTCTGGGAATCACATTATGTCAAATTTTTTGATCCTAAATACTGAAGTCTCTGTGGTTCCATTTGCCAGAGCCTAGGGAATCAAGAAGTCTAAACATTTATACAATACAGCACAATAGACAAATGACACTTAGGCATCAAAATGAGAATTGACATTGGAAAGGAATGTAGCTCACCTGGATCAACAATTGTCACTATGGTTTGAGGGTATTTGCCAACCTTTGCCCCAAACCTGGGATTGATGAGATCCACTGCGAATTGTTTCAGCTGCTGGTTCCGAAGGAGGGCATCAATCTCTGTCAACTCCATCAATTTGATTTGTACTTCCTTCTGCTTCTCTCCAGGCAGGAAGATCAGATCACCCTCCGCAAAAACATAATCCTGGAAAGGTAAAGAGAGAACACACTGAACAAGGTACTATTTTTTCCCCATTAAAGTATTGAAACATCCATATTCCATCCTTCTGATCCAATGACACCACCCAGAGCAATTTACAACATTTTAGCAGATGGCCTCCACCTTGAGCCATACAATGTACAGATAAATATTTTTAAAATCCTTTACTATATAATAGTTTCCACATTTACTGTGGAATTGCATTTCACCAAATATATTTCATTCGTTCTTTGAGAAAGATAGAGAAATATTTCTGGAAATGAAGGAAGAATGTAAACAACTGGAGTGATTGTAATAGTGAAAGAGCATAAGGCGTAATGTTATTTAAAAATAAAATTGAACAGGATAAAAAATGATGGAAAGAAAATAATATGGCAGAAGTTGAAATAAGTAGAGATGGAGAAAAATGATAGTGATAAAGGATGTATAAAAGAGATAAATATTGGGAAAAAAGGTAAGATTAAGATATATTATAATGATGATTTGGATTATATATAAGATGTATGAGATGTGACCTGGTCAGCACTCTGTTCACAAAATATGTATGCTGAAAAGAAAAAAACTTGGTTAAAAAAAAGAGAGAGAGAAAGAAAGAAGAACAAAATCTACATTGAACTCTGTATTACTATGGATGATCCACAAAGTAGCTACAAAGAAATGAGGAGATGTTAGGTGGCCTTGGGACTATGCCCTCTGGGCTGATAATGGACTGAAAGCAGCACCAACAACTTCTTATTCTTAGTTTGATTCTCTTCCTCTCCTCCTTTGGCTATAGAAAGAAGATGGTGTAAGATCTCAGCTACAGAATAGGTGAAATGCTTACTGTTTAACTTCTCCCTAACACAAACTATTGTCCCAGAGGACTTTTTAACCTTCCTTCCCAGTCTCTTCCTTCACAAAATTACTGTGCCCTCTGCTCCACTGAAGCTTAAAAACTGAATTGGCAGGAATGAAAGCTTTTTTCTTTTTAAGACTTCCCTAGACAGCCTCCTTCCTCTGAATACATTGGTCTCAATTAGAATTGTGCCCTGAACTAATCAGACAAACAAACAAAAACCCCAAAGAAAAAGCAGTAACACCAAAGGCGCATCACATTTTATCAAACAATGTTTAGTCTGCAGATTTATGTTGTAAGGTCTACTAGTTTATTCAGGGGTTTTCCTATTATTATTATTAAACTACCCTTTAACTCACATAGCCAGCCAAATCCCTAAGGAATCCCAGCAACAGAAAGATAAGTTATATAACAAACAATATACAATACAGTAAACAAAAAGTCTACAAAGACTAATGGAAAACCAAGTCATGTCAAATTAACTAAACTATAACCAAACCAAGAAGGAGTCAGGATCCAAGTATCCTCTAGAAGAGCTCTGGGTGATTAGGGCTGGAGCCAACAGATCCCCAGCGGGAGGTTGTTTCAAAGAACCATCTCAGCCATTAAAAAGAACTACTGTTGAATTTCAGCCCCCTTCCATTCCCTAAAATGGGAACATTATTAAGTTTTTCTCAGGCATAGCAAACTGGCCAGGCTAATTTCAGTGGGAAAATGTGATCCTGCCAAGCTATGTAATAGGTTCGTATCATAACATCCAAAAGCTTGTTGGCAACCAATGCAGGCCCACAGAGCTGGTCTAATATGGCAGGAATGCCTGCAGACCTGTCAATCTGCCTTGAGATCACATTTTGTTGCTTCTTGCTCTCCTCACAGCTTTGTATGCTTGATAACAGAAAGATAATAAAGTATTGCTGTACCCACTTGAAAAGCTGAAGCTGAAGTTTGCTTTTCTAAGTGATGTTCAGGATTTCATGCTTTTTCTAGAAACACATTTATATATTCCCTCTTTTATGCCAAGGCTACAATATGACCATGCAGTGACTGAAAGTTTTTGTGCAACCGTTATGATAACTCTTTTTGTAAGAATGCTTACTTTGCCTTGCTGAGCTGTGAGATCTCGTGTCCTGTATGTTATCTGGGATTTTCCCTTCTCCAATATTTCTCGAACCAAAGGGATCTTAGCCAGCTGGTCAAAGCGGCTGTATGAATAAACTGGCTCCAGGAAGCTAATGATACTATTTGCTAAAAAGATACAAAGATAATATGTTAACAATCTTAATCATCTAATACTGTAAAATAATGGTTTAACCTAGGCACTATTCAGACATATGATTACATTAACAAGCAGGAAATGTTACTTATTGCCCCTATTTTTAAGCTAGAGAACAAGATCTACACTTTAATATTAATAAAAGAGAATATTTGTAGCTCAGGGTTGAAATGAGAGGTCCTTGGTGCTCTCTGAGCTTGCTTGGAAAAATGTAAGAAAATTTTCTAGGAAAAATTTGCCTGCAGGCATACTTCCACCAAAGAACAACTTTTCTTCCTACATGAATGCCTACGACAGCTTGCCCTACCTATCAGTGTCAGGTAACAAACCTCCAATCAACTGCACACCTGGATGGAAAATAGCCCAAGAAACTGGGTGAAAAATGATCACAGACACACACAAGCAAGCTCAGAGAGCACCAACGACCTCACACTTCAATATTCCTCCAACTAGTTTCTTGATACTCTGCATAGCCTAGGTTGGCAGCCAAGTTCAGATTTTTTTTTTACTGGCATCCCTAATATTAACAGATATGTGCGTGCCTACCCTCTAAATGGATTTTGCTATGTTCTTCACCATTTTCATCCCTCCCTAAATGAATATGAGATTTGGAATTCCATAAACACTAGTTGTCAAAGAAAAATGGAAAACATGTTTATCACCAGTGATACTGGAGACAGTTCTACTCTTTTCATATAGCTATAATGCAGTGGTGAAATCCAATTTTTTTTACTACCAATTCTGTGGGTGTGGTTTGGTAGGCGTGGTGTGGCTTGGTGGACGTGGCTTGGTGGGCGTGGCAGGGGAAGGATACTGCAAAATCTCCATTCCCACCCCACTCCTGGGGAATGATACTGCAAAATCTCCATTCCCACCCCACTCGGGGGCCAGCCAGAGGTGATATTTTCCGGTTCTCCAAACTACTGAAAATTTCCACTACCGGTTCTCCAGAATCTGTCAGAACCTGCTGGATTTCACCCCTGATATAATGATGATCTGTGACCTCATTTAAGGCATGCAAGTACCTGTTTTGCTCCTAGATTCACTTATAGAAATCAGCTTGACATTGGGGAAGAGTTGGGAAATTTTTAAAAGATGAAATGAATGCCTTAAATATTTGCAAGGCTTAAGGTATTCATTCTACTTTTTAAAGTTCCCCCAATCCATTTACCCTAACTTTTGAAGTTTCCTTTTTCAGGGCGTGCTTTGAAGAGTTTGAAGGTGCTCTAAGTGACACAAAAGGAGTTCTTCCATCTCTTGTCTATAATATATAGATAGGACAACTGATTTTTCAGAGAACCAAAAAGTTTTCTGACTGCCCATTGGAACAGAAGGTCTTTTCCAGGAACAAGCTACATTTAACTATGGTAAATAAACTACACAAGGACCAGCCAAAGGTGATTGTATGACTAACATTTGTCTTCCCCACTGTACGCTATCATACTACCTTGCTCTTTTATTATGGTGATGTTGACTTGATGACGACCAATTTTTGCGGTGCCCACAGGAACATCAATAGCTTCTACATGCAGCTGTTTTTCATCATCATCCTCTTCCCTGATGAACAGGGGAACCCGAACATCCACCAACTCTACCCCTTCCTGAAACTCAACCATGCCCTGGGCATCTGGGGTTTGGATGGAGGCAAAGGAAAGAAGAAGAATAAGTTCACTATTAGAAAGCACTCTTATAAAACAAGCCCTTGAATTCTTACTATATACCGGTAGTTACTCTGTCCTCCTACATAATACAGGAGAGTCCAGATGGCAATATCTTCTTCTTCCTGAATTTGCACATCATCATTTATTCAAGTGGTGGGCAACATTCATTTTCCTAGTTGTTGCTGAACTGCAGCTCCTAGTATTTCTCAAGTTAGCTGTGCTGGCCAGGACTGTTGGGAGCTGAAGCTCAACAACATTTGAAGGTCACAGGTTAGCACCACTTGGATTTACCTTGACATTTCGTCTGTCATTGAATATTTATTCAGGAAAGGAAAACAGAATAGGTCCACAGTGTCACATGACTAAAAATGGCAAAGTCTTGTTTCTGGAATCACCCCTAACCTTCAGTGCAATTGTCAGTCTGCATTAGGCTGTACAGGTAGGCCTCGACTTACAACAGTTTGGTTAGTGACTGTTCGAAGTTACACTTGAGAAAAGTGACTTATGACCCTTTTCACTCTTACGATTGTTGCACTATACCCATGGTCACATGATCAAAATTTGGCATGCTTGGCAAACCGACTCATATTTATGACGGTTGCAGTGTCCCGGGGTTATGGTGATCACTTTTTGCAATCTTTTGACAAGCAAAGTCAATGAGAAAGTGCAGAAGCAGACAAGTTAACGATGGAACTTAAGGACAGAGAGGAAACGATTTATTATGAAACATGGAACAGATGATATGATTGGTTGGAAAAGGAATCTAAACTTAATGGATAGTGTATAGCAAAAGAGAAGATATTATAATGGAATATTATATTTAATGTGTAGTAGGTTTGTATATAAAATGTATTGATTATATGAATAAGTATGTAACAAGCAAAATGTGTATGTATATAGTTGGCTGAAAGATAAATTGGATATTACTAAAAATGCCAGTATTGGAAAGCTGTAAAAGTATAACTAAGATTTAAAAGATGTAAACGTTGAATAAAAACATTTTTTTTAAAAAGGGAAAAAGTCAAATTTACTTAATAACCATGTTACTAATTTAACAAGTGCAGTGATTCACTTAACCACTGTGAAAAGGTAGGATATAAAATGGGGCAAAATTCACTTAACAACTGTCTTGCTTAGCAATGGATATTTGGGGCTCAATTGTGGTCGTAAATTGAGGACAGTCTGTATCACTGCTGACTATAGAAGGGGTCTCCAACCTTGGCAACGTTAAGACTTATGGACTTCAAATCTCAGAGTTCGTCAGCCAGCAAAGCAGAGCTGGCTGAGGAATTCTGAGAATTGAAATCCATAAGTCTTAAAGTTGCCAAGGTTGGAGACCTCTGGACTATAGTAATAAAAACAAGAACTCTGCCATGTATGAAAGAAGACTTCTCCCTCCCAAAGGCTCCCAGACTGGTTCCGACAGAGAAAACTGTATGGAGAAGCATTCCATCACAGAAGGCTCCCCCTACCCCATCCTTCAATCAGTCTGAAATGGAGCAGCTCAGATGTTAAAACAAAAAGGAGGAGGAGGAGGCCCCTACCTTGGTCAGCAATCACAGTGTAGTAACCAGGCGACACTTTTAATTCATTGAAAGCTCCTTGCGAGACATGCTTCTCTGTTACTTTGATAATTTCGTTCCTGGCTGAGCGGGGAGCTGGGAGCACCGTGTCCAGGATTGTGTGGTCTTGCCTGGGAAGAAGAAAAACATCAGGCTGCCTCCCCTGCCCATGTGGTATCCTGGCATATGGCCACATATGAGGAAACATGACAAATGAAGCCCTAGTGTTATATAAGAAAAAATAAAATCATGCCCAAACCGATCAGCCATCCCAGCTTGAGCTGTAGCAAGATGCAACCATTGTCCACAAATGCCCACACAAATTTATAACTGCTAATCCACAGACAATGCTGATCTAGAGTCTTCCACAGCTAAGGAATTAATATTGGGTGGCTCCCACTATCCCCAAAAGTGGCACCTGCAGTGGGTTGAAAGACCAGGTAACATGCAGCACCAAAGAGATAACATGGGCTTCTACAGTTTTTAGCTGGTTACACTTTCCAGGAGCCTATTAATGGCCATACGTCTGTCTTCAAACATTTCAGGCTAGAGTCAAATCCAAAACCTCATGGAGGAATCTGTCAGTGGAAATGTCCGTCTACAACAGCCAGAATAATCTATGTGTAACTCTTAGCTGCCTACTACAAGTAGTCCTCAGTTAACAATGACAATTAGTACTGGAATTGCTGTCACCAAGTTGAGGTCATAAAGTGGGAGATCACATGACCACAATTCTTAATTGTGGCAGTCCACCAAGGATGTCACATGACCATAACTTCTAATTTCCTGCTAGCTTCCCCTTTGACTTTGTTTAAGGGAAGCTGGCAGGGGATATTGGAAATCATGTAACCTCAGGGATGCTTCAACAGGTCAAAACTCTGTGAGCCGGTCCTAAGTGCTACTTGTTCAACGCTGTCCCAAGTTTGAATAGTCACTGAATGAACTGAAATAAGTTGATGACTACCTGTATCAGCATAGGTTTCCACAGTAGTAATGAGAAGTTCAGGATAAACAACTTGAGCCGTCATGGCGCAGTGGTTAGAATGCAGTACTGCAGGCTACTTCTGCTGACTGCCGGCTGCCAGGAATTTGAGTCTCACCGGCTCAAGGTTGACTCAGCCTTCCATCCTTCCGAGGTGGGTAAAATGAGGACCCAGATTGTTGGGGGCAATATGCTGACTCTGAAAACCACTTAGAGAGGGCTGTAAAGCACTATGGAGTGGTATATAAGTCTAAGTGCTATTGCTATTGATTCTCTGGAAAGTAAATAATGCAATGCAGAGAAAAAGACCAGCAGTGATAAAGTTAAATAACAACATCCTATTTTCTGGAAGGTAGGCAAAAATTGTTGCAGTAAAGCACAACAATGGAAATTTATTTCTAAGTCCATACCTGGAAGTTAGAGTAGAAATGAATGGTTTTGTTTACCTTTTTCCAGCATTTGGCTGAATCCTGGGGAGAAAACAGATAAAATCCATAAATTTCATGGATTTAATGAAAAAGAATATCAAGAACTTTAATGACTGACAGACCAAATCAGTACCCTGTACACTTTATACAGTTATTGTTGTAGCATTGGAAAGCTGATCAGAGAAGAATTCAAATTCTACTACCTTCACATTCTAGGAAAAAGGACAAAGAAGACGGCCAAAAAGATATTCTTTCATTACACAAGTTCCTTGTTATTCACCTATCATCATCTACTTTCCTGTTTTAAAAAAAAATCTGTTGACTGAGATTTCATTCTTTCTTCCCAAGACAGTTATGCTCTCACCTGAATTTTGTCTGCTGGAACTTTTGGAAACCTGGGATTATTCTGTACACTTCATTCAGCTGGGAAGAGCAAGAGAGGGTCATTAGTCCAGATCCTCAAGAGAACTACCCCAATCCCTAATCCCCCCATCCCATTCATATTAGAGGCACCGTTTAAAGGTTAGGTTTAGCCAGTGACAGCATTGTTGCCTGCGGGATGCCTGAGTGGGCTCCTTTGATATCCCCATAAAGGAGCTTGAGCAAATGACAGGAGCTCACCCCAACCCACAGCAGTACTCAGGTCTCAAACGCCGGCTTGCTAACCTCCCACCCAGCATCCTAACCATGTGAGCCACCAGGATCCTTAACTGACCCAATATACATCAAGCTGGTACATAAGTTCATCAGGTGCTCAGTCAAATATTAATATTAAAAGCATCAAGCCCTTCATCTTCTGCCCTTCATTTGATTTATATCCAGACATCACATCCACAACAGAAGTTGTATCAACACTCAAATCCAGGGAAAGAAATTTTGCACTGGGTTCAATATCTCTGCCTCCTCAGCAACAAACCAGCATGACAGAGTGTTTGGGGAGGATTCTTTGGTTCCTATTTGACCTGACTAGTTGTCATGTTCTGTGTGGACTTTGGGTCTGTCAAAATCTACCTCACCCACCTGCCAGAACTATGGTGAGGATAAAAAGAGGAGCAAGTCATACAGATATACACACACACGTCCTATAACAAGGGAGAGTGAAAAATAGAACAAATACCCCTACTTCTTACATTTTCCTCCACTTCTTTCTGCAGTTGCTCTTTTTCACGGCTATCCAGTTTTGCAAGACTTTGGGTGTAAAGGCGTGTCAATCTGAGAGAGAGCCCATATGGAACTGAAAATAAGAAAATAAATCCATCAGAATTTGCAGCTGCCAGTCAAGCAAGGAGCACAACCAATTAATACAGAGATATAATGGGAAATAATGATATGGTTCAGTCAGAGAGTTTATTTTACACATACCAAACAGTGATTAGAATTCTGAAGTACCTATAATTTTGACATAGAGTTTTGCTGGACTTCAAAAATTAGAATCTACATCATAGTCTTACATTAGTTACACAGTGATCCCTTCTCTGCTTCTAAGTATAACTGTAGGTAAGAACGACAGGAATTTCTCCCAGATACACCTTCTATCAGTATCTTCAGAGCAGAAATTCCAGAGACATCTCAAAAATTAAACTTACATAAAATGTATAGGCTCGTGGTGCAGTTACATCTAAAAAAACAAGGCAATTGTACTAATGGTCACGAGAGTTCTCTGAAAAATTAACAGCATCTCAAAAAACAAGTCTGAGATCTTTTTTGAATCAGCCTTATGTTAAATCCTTTTCTATTCAGGCAGCTCTACTGAAAAAGGTAGCTTGCAAGCTTACCATTATCTTTGAAAACGTGGAAAGAGATCATGACTTGAGGGTACAGGAAGGATTTGGCTTACTGTATGTCCCTTAGTTCAGTGACTGTTCGAAGCTATGGCAGCACTGAAAAAATGAATGTACGACCAATCTCTGATATTCCAGCCAACACAATACCCTTGCGGTCACATAATTGTGAACTGGGTATTCCAGTGTCCAGCTTACGATTATGACATTACAAAAAACTACAGTCATATGTCACCATTTGCCACCTTCCCTGCCAGCTTTCCACAAGCAAAGCCCCAGAAGGAAGGTTGAAAGTCGCTCCAGTAAGTTTCTCCTGCTTTTTTACCTGCCCATAGTAACACACACAGCTTCCACTGGTCCTTCCCGACCCTTTCCTGGCTCCTGTATCTCATGCAAAGTCTCTGCTGCCCTCCCCAATTCTTGCATGGCCTGAGCCAGTTCTCTCTGGCCTCCTGTGCCAAGCCTTTGCATGCCCTCCCTTGGCGACTCGTGTGCTCCTTACTTGAGATACCCATCTCTTTCTGCTTAACAACCCATCCATCTTGAGGTTATGATGGTAGCCAGAATTGCCTGGGACTGCTGTCACTAAGCAATGTGGACGTGTGGTGTTGTATCTTTCAACCACATTGCTTAACAATGTTAATCCTGGTCTCACTTGCCATTGTAACCAAGGACTACCTGTGTCCTAACCAGCAGTTCCTCACATACTTTGGGAGGCTATAGATGGGTGAGGCTACATGACTGCCTTGATATTTGAATCAGGTTTCAAACCAGATACTGAAGGAGTAACTATCCCACTATGGCAGGGGTGTCAAACTCGATTTCACTGAGGGCATCACGGTTGTGTTTAACCTCGGTGGGCCGGGGTGGGTGTGGCCAGGGTTGGCATGGCCAGCTTGATGTCACTCGTGTCAGGGGTGCCTGTGGGGGCCCGAGTGCTCTGCCAGTGAAAACGGGCTCCCAATCTCCGTTTTCAGATGGGATGGCCTCCTGCAACCCTCTGCCAGTGAAAACGAAGCTCGAGAGGGCCTCATGGAGATTGGGAGCTTGTTTTAGCTGGCAGAGGCACCATGGGCTGGTCCTTCGCTGTTTCCAAGCCAGCCCCACGGGCCGCCATTCAGCCTGTGGGCCTTGAGTTTGGCACCCCTGCACTATGGTCACCATTAACTTCAGAAATAAGCTATGTTCCATCAGGATGCTCTTTTCCACCTTGTAAAACAAGCACTTACTGATATCCTTGGGATTGAAGGCGAAGGATGAGTAGTCTTGCTTTTGCACATTGTTTCTGATCTTCCAGTGGACTGTGTCTCTCCCTTTCAAATTACCGCTGCGCACCATTGGAGTGTCCAGGTGATCTGATGCCATGAGACTCTGCCTGAGCAGATAGTGGTCCTCCTTGAAACCAACCATGCGACCTTCAGAGAGGGAAAGAAAGTTAGTATTGGTACTTCAGCACCATGGATCTAACTTTAGATCTTTTTTATATATTAAATCACGGGTCTCCAACCTTGGCAACTTTAAGACTTGTGGACTTCAACTCCCAGAATTCCTCAGCCAGCTTTGCTTCTGGGAGTTGAAGTTCACAAGTCTTAAAGTTGCCAAGGTTGGAGACCCGTATTAAATAGAATAAATAAAATACTTTTGTCAAAGGAGAAGCACCTTATTTACATTGTCAAAGGAGAAGCACCTTACTTACACTGTAGCATGAGTTTCCCACTCCCCTTTCCCTATTTCTAATTAGTAACTGGTGCTCAGATTGCTGGCAATAAATTATATTATTGTTAATTTTGAGATTGGCCATCCATGACTCAAATTCCTAATTCTGTCCCTCATTATTGTTATATCATACATCTACTTTACATCATATATTTCAGCATGGGTTCATAGTGTATATTCCAGAATCATTATACTATTCTAAAATGCATTTCAATTCAAACACATGAAGCTTTATGTTTCTTTACATTCTCTAAATCAGTGTTTCTCAACCTTTGTAGCTTGAAGATGGGTGGACTTCAAGTCCCAGAATCCCCCAGCCAGCAGCGCTGACTGGGGGATTCTGGGAGTTGAAGTCCACCCATCTTCAAGTTACCAAGGTTGAGAAACACTGCTCTAAATACTCTATAAGGGATTATTTTCTCTCTGCTGTTCAGAGAGTTAAATGCATAGGTTTTGATCCAGGTTCTCCCAAAAATGAAGAGCTTCAGAGAACAGTGCTTGAAAAGTCGTAATCTTCTTAAGACAGCTACTGCCTAACTGGATACAGGCTGGTAGAATTTAGACAGATAATTACTGAGCTGATTTAAGTGACAGGCAACTTGTATGCCTGCTAGGTTTCCCCTCCCCCCCAAACATACTAGACTTCTTTGAATGTAATATAGGTAGTTCTCAACTTACAATCACAATTAGGACCAGAATTTCCATTGCTAAGCAAGGTGATTGTTAAGTGAGATGCTCCCAATCTTACAAACCTTTTTGCCATGGTTATTAAGTGAATCATTGCAGTTGCTAAGTGAATCATATGATCATTAAGTGAATCCACTAACCCCTCCCCCCCCTTGACTTTGCTTGTCAGAAACCGGCTGGGAAGGTTGCAAATCCTGACCTCATATAAATAGATGCCGATTGACAGGTGCCTAAATTTTGATCACATGACCATGGGATGTTACAATGGTTGTAAGTGTGAATACTGGCTGTAAGTTCCTCTGTTTGGTGCTGTTGTAATCTTGAATGGTTGCTCAATGAATGGTTGTAAGTCAAGGACTGTCTATATTGCTTTCTTTCAGTCTTGAGCTAAGCACACCATGCTAATGCTATTATCACCCGTACCAGAGACCGCATATAAATTCAAAAGATGTACCTCGTGCACAACAGGGTAGCAACGCCAAACAATGCTAGGTGTCAAAAAAAAAAAAAGAAAAGAAAAGAAAAAAGAAAAGGTTTTAATGAATTGGTTTTAATGCAAAAATGCAAAACTAAGTTTACTGGCAGGAGAATAGACCTCTCTGCCTGTTGCCCTTGTTTAAGTGGATCCATGAAAGGCAACAAGAGAAACATACCAACCTGGTTTACATGGCATAGGGACTGAACTAATAAATAAGATTAATATGACCTTGACCCCTTTAGATCAATGATGTAAGTGATTATGGCAATGTATCCTACAAATAATGCCTTTTCTACATGCTTATTTCTCAGGCACTTTTTTTTTTTTTTAATTTTGATTTATATGCTGCCCTTCTCCGAAGACTCAGGAAGGCTTACAATGTGCTCAGCAATAGCCTTCATCCTTTTGTATATTTATACAAAGTCAGCTTATTGCCCCCACAAACTGGGCCCTCATTTTACCTACCTTAGAAAGGATGGAAGGCTGAGTCAACCTTGAGCCTTGGCGAGATTCGAACCCTGCAGTAATTGCAGGCAGCTGGTCTTAATAAGCTTAATAACAGGGTGCCTTAAACCCCTGTACTACCAAGGCTCTTCTCGATAGGACTAGTGGTAAGGGATCACTGGCTCTCTTTCTCCATACATTTTCATTTGCTCCTTGGCATTGATGTTGCAATGCCATTGTTTCTTGATCTTTCCCACCGGACAAGTGTCTACTCCAACTCCAAACCTCAATGCCTTCCAATATATTCCATTCCGAATTCCCATACACAATCATTTTAGGATAAAACAAAATACAGTATCTCCGATATATTGGAGAAAAGTAATCTTTTAAAATAATGATTCTCCTGAAGTTGAAGAAAGCTACATCTACAGTAGAAGAAACATACTTGTTAACATTTAGTTAATATAAAAATAGCTTCAACTAGAAGCTTACACGGACAAGACAGAAAATGTGACCTCTAATTTTTATGTGATCGGAGAGAAGATTTAAAAAAAATCTTCAAGTTGTTAGAAAAAAATGACTGAGTCACAGGTTAGATTCAAAACATGCCACCAAAGCCCCCCACCCCACCCCGGCCCAGTTTTCCTTTGCTACTGCAGGTTGGGAAGATAAAATTTACCTTGCAACAATCACAGAATTTCCAGCATAGGAGGAGCAGCAACCCCAGGAGTAGTATCAGAAAAATGAGTAGGGGGATAAGCCAAAGAAAACTTCCTGGTGGACACTCTGCATATAATGACAACAAATAAAAAAACATGTTCCAAAAGAATCAAGAGACCAAAGGAAGCAACATTATCTTTCATTTTCCTGGTTAGGGAAGAGAAGAGGAAAGTGTTACAGCAAATGCAGCAGATACTGTAACTCAGTGGCAGAACACATGCATTGCATGTAAAAAATTCTGCACCAGCATCTCCAGATAGAGGTAGCCAACTGAAAACTTTGAGAATTCCTGCCAGGTTATGAAGATCAGGCTTCTAGAGCCCAGATTTTATCTCCAAAAGAGCTGGATTACAATTTCACCATCCAGATTGTGCATAGTGATGCTGTGTGCAGGCAATGAGTTTTGTTGTCTAAAACTTCTGGAGGGATTAATTTAGAGCAGCAGAGTTTAGACTAATAGAGTGGACTTTATTTATTTTAAAACTTCAGGAGCCACTGGAAGTTGAGTCAGGGCAACTGGACTTATTTTCTTCCTGGTTTGAGATGTTTCGCTGCCCATCCAAGGTTGGTGAAGGAATAGAAAAAGTCAGTAAGAAAAGTGGCAGACTATAGGAATCATTTGCACTTCAACCTAGTCGGTACATTCCTTCTCACCCTAACTAATTTTGATCAGACTGGAGGCGCTGCTTGGATGGGCAGCGAAATCTCTCAAACCAACAAGAAAACAAGTCCAGTTGCCATCACTCAGCTGTCAGACAACTCTGCCCGGATGACTGAGGATCTTTCATTGTCATTCAGGAGCCACTATTGACTGCAGAAACAAACTTGGGATGAAAGAAAAAGCATGTCTCCAAACACCCTTTAAATCCAGGGGTTTGTTTCCAAGATCAGAAATGAACAGAGCTGCCTTTGTCATATAAAGTCCACTCGTGGTCAGTTCAAGCTTTCCTTGTTTCAGCAACCCAATTTTTAAAAAAGTCATTTGTCGTTGCGCTTGCTAAAAAAAAGAAGTCAGGCATCTTTGTCAATCAATTGCAAATAATTCAGAAAACTACTAGTACATCCTGATCTACCATGATGCAACTCCATTAGTGTGAATGAGAAAACACTGACCAACAGAGTTTCAAAAACAAATGAAAAACTAGTTGACAGGGCTTAGTGAAATCTAAATAATAGACCTTCTAGTTTATCCTACCTGCTACATCTTGAGATCCCACTCTCTTCATAGAAAGTTAATACTTACCTTTCTTCTGCACAAGAACAGTATTGTTTTGTGATAGATTGGTGCCTTCTTCCCTAGTGTAGCGGTAAAGGCAATCATCTTCCTCATCTTGGAAGGTACAAACCTGTTCTGCAGAGTAAAAAAACAACAACCATCAGATGTAATATTGCCAATTTATGTTGGAAATTGCTGGGATCAAAATTCTACTGTTGGCAATGGAGAAAAGGGAGAACTTCTTATTTTTCCATTTGAGGCCATTCCAAACAAACACCTTCAGGGTTTGAGTGATTCAATCTGCCAACACACTCCTCAAAATAAGGGGAAAGAAGCTATCTTAGTTTTAAAAGCCTGAACTAAAGGAGATAAGGCTGAATCAACAAGAAGGAACTAAATCACAGAGTTTTCAGTGCAGTTAATCCAAATGTGGCTAATCCAACCCACTTTATATCACTGCCATGTAATAAATTACATTAGAATATCTGAAATATGTACATTCATGATGCAATTCTATTCAGCATGTTTTGATGTGTCTGTGCAAAAGGAGAAAGAGGAAAGCCAATTAGCGTGGCATAAGCATTTGATGGCTCTATCCTTATTCTTTGCTCAGTTTATTGGGGGCATGAAAAAGCGTGCTTACCAGTAATCACTGATCATTTTCTTATAAGAAGATTATAGTATATTACAATGCTACCCAATCATTACTGTGACAACAAATCATTAATGAAAATAATCTATGTTAGGTGCCACTGTGAGATGCTATAAATCACTAATGAGGGTAAGGTCCACTGATCAGCACGTTTCTACTAAAATGTGATATGTTCACATAATAAGGAAACAGACTTAAACAGCTTATCTCTGCCAACCATCTTCTTACAATTGCAATTGCGATGTAATGAACATGTTGTGTAATACTGGGAATCAGTACATTCTTCAATGTTGCGTACATGAAAATAGGAACATCCCTGGATTCTTCCTATTATCCCGATCCATAATAGATAGTTTTAATTTTAATCATTTTTTTTGGTTTATGAAATAGTCTTTGCTCCCTGGTTTGGATGACAGTGGTATCTTTTTAATTTTGGCTAATACTGTAAGTATTTTAGGAAGATGTAATTAAAGATATGCTGCTCTCAGATTTCAAAAGAAGTTTGAAGTATATGTAGGTTTATATCTTACTTGGTGATTTACTGTCTGGGTACATGTTTTTACATGCATGCCCATTAAAGACAGATACACTCATGCTCAAGATATTTTACTCCTATGTTTTGATTGTCAGAAACAAGAACTGATGGTACAACTCACTCGCAGTTTAATTAAGTTTTTCCCAAAAGGTAAAGTTCAGACAAAGCAGGGACAGTAAAAAAATAAGATAACCAAAAACATGGAATAGCTTTTAGGAAAAGGAAGACTAGGACTGCCTACTGTTTACATCAGGGATGAGCAATTAATTTTTCCAAGGGGTCACGTGAGAAACTGGGACTATTGTGGAGGGGCAAAGTAACAAATCTATGAAGATGCATAAGCATACATGCAGGCACATATATAATTTTTTAAAAAAAGCAATAGCCTTCAAAATAAAAGCAAGCCACATGGGATGGACAGGGACAGCCAAAGGGCCAGATGTGGCCTGGGCACTTTAAAATGCCCAGGTCTGGCTTACATTATTCTCCCTTTCCCTCCACCCATCAAATTCAACAGTGTTATGTGGAATGTTTGGTTTGCATTTGAATATTAAACTGGGTGGTTGAAGAACTACACTACCTTGCTTTAATTCATCCACCAGCTTGATCTCGAAATGGCACTTTGAACATTTCTGTCCCTTCTTCTCTCCAGTGTCCCAAGCCTGACACTGGATGCAACTTCGGAATTCTTCCTCACACAATTGCTGGAAAGCCTAGACACGATGGAGAGAGCATGAGAAGGCGGACAAAACCTTCAGTTCTAGATTAGTGCTGAGCACGAATAGATAGTGAGGAGCGGAGAGATGGATATTTATTTATTTCTTACATTTATTTGCTGCCCATCTTGTTTCGAAACATCTTTGGGCGGCTTACAGCATTAAAAGCACTTCATGGATATCACATAGAAAGTATCAGAAAGGACAATACATGCCCCGTGCATGTAACACTGATGTGAGATGCAGTCTTGTGAATGAAGCCAGTGGAGAAGAAGGGGTGAGTGAGGGAATCTCCCATAGCAAAATAAATGCTATTACGAACTCTGACGTTCGGCTGTGGCACCTCCACAATAGCACCATAGCCCCCTGTAATCACACACTGGCTGGCAGCTAACTGTCCCATGCGGCCAAAGGCCTGGGACAAACAGTGTCTTGGCGAATGGCCCAGGCCGAAGGGTGTGGGGCAGAGGGCTAGAGGTACATTGGCCAGGGCAAATTACTGGGGAAGGACTAGTGGAGGATGAAAGCTGGCTTTAAATGGGCGGAGGTGGGAGGCTGGAGGAGAAGGAGGCATGGCCAAGGGTAGAAGCCTGAAGGTTCCATTCCGCTGGTGGACAGAAGATAAAGCCTTCTGCAAATAGAAAGATTCCCCAAGCAACCCAACAGGGAACTTGATTCTGCTGGGGAATAAATTATATGAACTTCTATTCTTATGTATATTAAAATACACCTTGTATCATGGAAGTGCCTCCTTCAAAAACAACTGAACCTCCAGTAAATACCAGCAACCTTAGTTTCTCACCACTCAAAAGTAACTGCATTGTTTATTCTAGCAAATCACGTGTATCTGCTTTGCCTCTTTTGTAGATATTCTATTGTACTGTAGAAATTTTATTGTTCTGATTGATTGTTTGATTCGTTGATTATTGTGAGAAAGGATAGGAATAGTTACTCCTGAATTGAGGAAGAGTTAATATTGACAGATGAAGAAAGAGCTTTTGTGACTATATTTGTACAGGCTTATATTTGCATATGGATGCTGTCAACAATAAAAATGCATTATGAAAAGGCAAGATGGTTTAGAAAAAGGAACATATCCTTGTACCAATTTTTCCTACTACAATATAGCAACAGTATTAATAGTCATAGTCATTTGCTTAACAAATATGCACTTTCGTGCACTTACCAAGTTTCCAAGTTCACAGTTGAGATCAGTATGGGGAGCAGTGGGGTTATTACAGAGGCATCGACCACATTCACATCTCCCTTGTCCATTACAAATCAGCTACAAGAGAGCAAAGTAATTATTCAGCTTTTTCTTCATTGCCTACATTGAGATAACAGAAGACTTTACCTGATGTTCGAGACAGAGCTTTTTTCACTACCAGGGAACATTTAAAAGGGAAGGAAAGAACCTTTTTCTATCTGTTTTTATTTAAGGATCACAGATTATATATATTAAACAGCAATAAGATCAACTGTCAAGCAGCCAACATCTCACTAGCGATCTAATGAGATCAATTATTCTTTTTAAGATGAATTGACAATACTGGATTTCATCTCCAATTTATTCAGTTTGTAATAACTATATATTGGCAGATTTTCACATGAATTGTCATATTAAACACTTTGTGCATCCAACACTGGATTGGGGTATGTGTGGATAACCAGTAGGCCACTTGTATTTTTCTCTTCATGACCTCTTCTGATAGCTCTTCTGGATGGGCAATTTACTTACCCCATTGCTGCTGACACAGGTTTCGTTGCTTGTGGGACACTCACAGCCGGCGCCTTCCCAACCAGCTTCACATACACACTGGCCCATGTAGCATCGTCCCCGGTCTGTAGAGAGACAGGTAGCATCAGCACAAAGACGTTTAGAGCCAACTTACCTACATAGCAGGTCTGTTTTTATGTTTCTATTTTTTTCTCATCTATATGCAGTACAAGGGCAGTTCACATATGATACATATCTCTACAGCTAAGCTAAGCAAAGGTGACAGGTTAGAACAAAGGGAATGCTTGAATAGAACATCTTTTTCCCCCCTCTGTGTTTGCGTTTGTGTATGTGCCTCAAAGAAAACATATGGACATTCAAAACCTTTCTGTCCTCAACTAGGAATTCAGTTCAAACAAGAACACAACTGGGGCCAACTGTCTATTTGCCATAATTGTATCTCACTTTTTTTCTAAGGAGTTCAAAGCAATATACATAGAGTTATTCCTTACACAAATGGGAAAGATCTATCTAAGTGATCACTGAGAGTTGACAATGTTTTGATAGCACATAATCAATTAATTGTTCCTAACTTGTGAGATAGGATGAGTTGAATGAAAATGACTAGCCAGAGGGAATTCTAAGGTGACTGCCCAACTTGCATTCTTGCAATCCCTATTAGAATTCTGGTGTTTCCTCTTATTAATATTTTCAGTCAGCTGCACACTCCATAAATAATATAACACATGGTCTGACCCAGAAAAAAAAGTTTACTGCCAATAGGAATCTCTAGATATTCTGAACTTTATCACTGGGATGCCTCATCTGGGAAAGCTATTCTGAACCGTCATCAACAATGGGACATGCCCTCAAAATCAGTCTTCTTCAAGGGCTGAGGGACACTACCAGAGCCCCAAGTTGGCCAAAGCTACTCCAGTATTGCTGAACTCTTCATGAATTGTCAGGTTTACAAGGCTGTATCTCAATGAATTGAGGGCAGAGTAAGCAATAATTTGCCCTTCCCAAAGATTTACCATTGCAGAGGAATCCAGAAGTGCGGGAACATTGCAAGTTGTCGAATTCACAATACTGTCCTTCATAACGCTGGATGAGATCTTCAGAATAGCACTGACAGATCCCACAAAGGCATTCTCCTTTGCCAGAACAGGGTTCTTTATCTCCAGGTCGTGTGCAGGCCTCAGTATCAGTAAAGGAGGATGTTGAGCAACTACACTGGTCCCCCCGCCTGTCAAAGTGAGAGGAAGTCAAGTGTGAGAATGGCCATTAGATGCACAGATATAACATCTTGTTCAGCTAAATAGAGGCCCAAACCATTTAGGCTATTTGACTATTGGCAGGGTCTGCTTTCATTTTTGACAAATAGCATAAAGTGCTTTATAAACTGCTATATTTGTTACTGACCTTAGCAGACATTATTTGATTAGTTTCACTCTTATATGGGACTTAACCAGGCATAGGTAGCTTTCATATAGGGTCCCCCCTTAAGTTTCATAGTGTCCAGTTCTTAGAGACTACCCAGACAAGTCCCTGCAGTTGTCTTGACAAAGTTCTTCATAATTGGTTTGCCATTGCCTCCTTCCTAGAGTTGAGAGAAAGTGACTGGCCCAAGGTTACCTAGCTGGCTTCATACCTAAAGCAAGACTAGAACTCACAGTCTCCCAGTTTCTAGTCTGATCCCTAGCCACTACAACAAACTGGCTATTATATGTTACTTACTCCATATATTCGATCTTTTATATGTGTTCAAACCTTTATTGGGATGTGAATTCACAGGCCTGATATACAGTATATACTGAGATATAGATTGGATAGATCGGCCTCCTACCCTTCTGGCCTTTAGAAAAGGTAAGGCTGTCCTAGACACAGCAGTGCCACCGTCCTTTAGTGTCAGGTGGTAGCAGTGAGCCTTTCCAATGATTATATTAAATGGGATATATTACTCGTATTGACCAGCAGATGGATTATATTTCATGTTTGAATAGTGTAATAATGGTTTTAGCATGGTTGTATATTTGTTTTTTGTTTATATTTTTTATTACTCTATTATTTTTAATTGTTGTGAGTTAAATATGTGAGATGTAAATTGAATAAATAAGAGGTTGTGTGTGTGTGTGTGTGTGTGTGTGTGTAAAATCATGTGGATTATTATAAAATAAATATTAAGTATATTAAATATATAATTGCATAAATCTATATGTTTATATTATATACACACACACACACACACACACTATCTAAAGTATGAAAAAAAAAACATTTTGAGAGGCAAGAGGAGAATTATCAGTTTCTCCAATTCATCTACTTCTTGTTCTTGGAGAAGAAAGGCATAAACTTTCTGATAGAGGAAAGACAATGGACCCCACTTTGAAAGAAAAACCTAATTGGGATACTTGCCAGCCTGGATTGCACACACATTGTCCGCAGACAAAATTTCCATTGTAACTGCACTTTGATGATTTAACTTCCTGAGTCTGCAAACAAGCAAGAAGACATTACTGGATCTCATTCCAGACACAGAACAACCGTTAATTTTATGATTTCTATTAGTAAAAATGGATCAGACCAGGGTTAAATTTCTTGCATCACATATTGTCCAGGTCTAGAACAATTCTTGGAACTGCTAATCAAAGAGGAGGGCAACAACCCACCTTTTCACAGGAGCAGGTGTCGCAGAGAATTGAGGCATCAATCTCCATTTTGTGACTGAAAGAGGAGGGCTTAATGTGGATAATACCTTTCCGCTCCTTCTCTGGGAGATCACAGACATGCTTGTCAGCAAAGTGCTTAGCTTTCAAATTCACATTGAAAGTTTTCTGGAGAGAAGAGAGAAGCCTTGTGTTTTTTCTGGATTCATTTAGAAAAAGAAGCAACTTTATCCACAAATGTGAGACTGAAAGACTAGCGACAGATCTATTGGGGATCCTGAGGCCCACTGGATAGTTTGTTTTATGACTGCAAAGTTCTTTATTTTTAGCATGGCTAATAGAGGACCAATAGAAATTAAAATCCAAAGTAACTAGTAGATTCTTTCCTCCTGAATTAGTTCAAAAGCTGAATGGATAGAGACACGGAAATAAGATTTTTCTCTCTTGAATTTGAAAAGAGGATGCAAGAAGTACAGATTTCCAAAACTATTCTTACTAACTGCTTTTCCTCCCAGTCCCTCAAGCACAGCTAGGATGGAGTAATCATGTTCACAGGTGGCTAGTAAGGCCTATAAGGGCACAGAATGTTTTGCCATATGTCGAGCAGACATGTGTGGGCACCATTGTTGCAGCATTTGCAGCTCTGGCTTTGCAGAGTGATCGCTTCTCTTGTGCTATGATTGTCCTTCTGCCTTCAAATGTCTGGCAGCCTTGGTGGATCAACATGTGCCATGTCGATCGATCTTGTGCCAGGGTTTCCCAGGAATAATAACAATACTAAGGATGGGGTAATAACAATACTATAAAATACAAAGATGATCTGGGATTTGGGACATTACTCTTCTTGGTCTCAACAGCCAGTTACCAACATTTTTAAACCCATTGGCATTGCATTGAAACTGGGTTTATTTACTGCCACAGTTACTATGGAATATATTTGATTTATAATTTATCAGAAATTAATGCAAATCCAGAATCTTCAATAGATACCTCCAGGGATCAACAGGTTACATGATCAGTGGCTCAACCTGAGAAGAGGACATGAGACACAGACAATTCTCATTTGTTTCGTTTAGCTCAAGGTGTCCAATTTGTTTACAGCCAGAGGGCGTTCTTTTGAGCAGGGATATCCTCAGCAGCTGGGAGTCACAGGGATGGGCATTGATATCATGATGTTACACTAGTGGAGACAAACTTTGTTTGTTTGTTTGTTTTAAATGTTCAGATTTCTGGAGTAGAATTTGCTGGTTAAGTTATCCCAGATTTACTGGAAAGTTTAACACATGTTCAGTATACATGGGGTTTGGAGGAAATTGCATTTTGAATCTGTCAGTGAATTTTGGCAGTGCAATCTTGAAATGCTGCAAAAAATAAAAATGGTCCAGGAACTGCAGTAGCTCACAGTTTTCCCCCTGTTGCTTTAAGTTATGCAAATTTACGGGCTCAGAGAAGGCCCCCCCTGTAGCCCAAAAGATCTAAATGCCTTTCCAAAATCAAAAGTTTTCTTCATTTTCTTTGTTTTTAATTGCAAATCATTAAGAGATAGAAATGCAAAATAGAAAGCTTACCAGTTCGCCTTGAACAATATGCAATGAACCAGACTCCATTTTTTCACTTTTTGAGGATGATATTTCAGTTTTCATGGCTTTTGGGATATCGTAAGCTTGAATGCTCATCTTGGAACGAATGCGCTGGGAAGGAAGAAGGAAAGAAAACATACAGAACTGGAATGGATTCAAACCACTGATTTCATAATTTGAGTTATTGAACCATCGCACAGGAATATATCAGGAAATGCCTTGCAAAGCATGATTCTGACCATTTGGTATGCACATTGAGAGAGGGCTTTCTCTGTGTCCCTCCATTATAGGAGGTTAATGGGACTGAACCAGGAAACAGATCTTCGCAGTGGTAGTCCCCACTTTATGGAACATGCTTCCATGAAGGTACAATTGGTCCCTTCCCTCTATAGATTTAGGAAGGCCCTCAGTACAAGCTTATTTCAGAAGAATGTTTTTGTACACATTTATATTATTTCTCTTATTCTTCTTTACCATGTTTCCCCGAAAATAAGACCCTGTCTTATATTTTTTGAACCCCAAAATAAGTGCTTGGTCTTATTTTCAAGGAGGTCTTATTATTTTGGAGCGCATGGAGCAAGACTGGGCTCCTCTTGCCGTCTTACCTGATTTCCAGTTCTGTCTCCCTAACCAGAGGAAATGGCAGGGACAGGCTGCACATGCAGTTAAATATTTTCAGGGAGGGCTTATTTTTAGAGGAGGGCTTATTTTCGGGGAAGGGTTTATTTTTGGGGGGTGACTTATTATCCGGGAAGGTCTTATTTTGGGGGGGAAATGGTAGTTATTATTTGAAATTCTGATTTTAAGGAAGGAGATAGCCATATTATATTTATTTGGTCATAGAAACTATCCAGAGTTGTATAGATTGAGGTACTCTATAAATATTGTTAATCATTAATAATTATTTAAAAACTGGGAATTTATTTGTTAGTACCCATTTTGTTCTTTAATCTCCACCAATCCTTCTGAATGCAACTAAGAGTCTACATTTTTAAATCATAGGTACTTTGTAGAACTTTATGGGCTACCTTTTTGAGATACGTAGTTTTTATGCCCCTGATTTATGTCATCTAATTATTACCTGCCTGAAAATACTTTATGAATTGGCTGAAATAAGAGCTGCTCCAAGAAATAACTGCAAGAATGAAATGTGAGTGAGTAAATCATTTATGGGGAATTATAAGAGAATTATGTTATCCCAAGAAGTAACAGCATAAAATACCACACATTGCTTCTTACCTTAAAAGCCAAACGGATCAATTCCACAATGTTGGAAGAATCTTCTTGAAGCCTCCCAATTTCAGAAATTGGAAAATATTTGTGCAGTTTCTAATAAAAAAGTAATATTTATTTATTATAATACAACAATTTAATATTGTAAGCACAAAATGGATAAAAAAGACAAGGAAAATATTTAGAAAACCAAGCACACAGAAGAGTTATTCTTATTGTTCTATTGTTATTATGGCTAACTGCAGAGAAAGACAAAACACCAGTTACAATGCTGAAAAACTTTCCTCTGATTTCTTTCCCTGGATTCTAATGTAACATTTTCCTTTAACCTTTACAGAAGTGTGCAAATACAATGGCTTGTGAATGAAAGTGAAAGTGAATGACAAAAATTCATTGGGTAGACTCTGTTCACCTTCACTTCAAACTCCTTCTAATAAGAGCTTGATTTCTGAGTAAAATTCCCCCAATTCATCTTGAGGAGTGCATAGAGCAGGGGTGTTAAATTTATGGCCCACTGGCCGGATGCGTCACGCACTGGCCATGCCCACCCCCAAAGGGGGGGGGGGAAAGTTGTGATACATCATGTGATGATAACGTGATGACATGAGTTTGACACCCCGACATAGAAGAAGAAAAAATTAGCCTAGACATATTCACAGTACAATAGGAAGTCTGGGGTATTTAGCCTTTTCCCTAGGGCCTAGGCTTTTTCATTATCTAAGAAACTACTAGTTGCTTTACAAAAAGAAAATACAATTTTCCAAATCACACCTGTTTTCTTTCCTACAAATAAAATGTAGTACAACATAATTGAGGGGATGCGGTGGCTCAGTGGCTAAGATGCTGAGCTTGTCGATCAAAAGGTCGACAGTTCAACAATTTGAATCCCTAGTGCCGCGTAACGGGGTGAGCTCCCATTACTTGTCCCAGCTTCTGCCAACCTAGCAGTTCGAAAGCACATAAAAAAATGCAAGTACAAAAATAGGGACCATCTTTGGTGGAAAGGTAACAGTGTTCCGTGCGCCTTTGGCGTTTAGTCATGCTGGCCACATGACCACAGAGACGTCTTCAGACAGCGCTGGCTCTTCGGCTTTGAAATGGAGATGAGCACCCCCCGTAGAGTCGGAAATGACTAGCACATATATGCGAAGGGATCCTTTACCTTTACCTTACAACATAACTGAGACTGAGAAAATGGACCAGAAGTAAGACATAAAGATAAAATTCTTCTCCATGATATTTCAGCAGAAAAAAACCCCTAAGAACATTGTCCATAGTCTAAAGAAAGCAAACAGAAGGATATTGTTCTAAGAGACAAACTAGACTTGAAGCTACTGCCATAAATGTCTTTTTTCAATCCAAAAAGCAATAAAACAGAAGGCTTAATTACCATAGGATGGAGGTGATAGATGCAGACCAATCTTAGATGTCATAACATAATACAGTTTTGGCCTATCCATGGATCAAGATTTATGAGGTAACAGAAGAGTTATCTTTGAGTTACCTCTAACATGGATTATTTAGCTAGCCACTGGGTGTCTCCACTGCATTGCAAAATACAGACTGCAAAGACATTTCATTCCCAAATCCAGTACATACATACATACATACATACATACATACATACATACATACATATCAGAGGTGAAATCCAGCAGGTTCTGACAGGTTTTGGAGAACCGGTAAATTTTGAGTAGTTCGGAGAACCAGCAAATACCACCTCTGGCTTGCCCCAGAGTGGGGTGGGAATGTAGATTTTGCAATATCCTTCCCCCAGGAGTGGGGAGGGAATGGGGATTTTACAGTATCTTTCCCCTGGAGTGGGGTGGGAATGTAGATTTTGCAGTATCCTTCCCCTGCCGCACCCACTGACCCACACACCAAGCCACACCAAGCCCACCAAGCCACGCCCACAGAACTGGTAGTAAAAAAAAATTGGATTTCACCATTTATATATATATATATATATAAATAAAAATTCGGGCTCAATAAAATTGTGGTTGTAGGTCATGGATTACTTATACCTGAAGTTAGGCATTCAGCTGCTACACTGACATACATCTTCTAAACTATTAAAGTTCAGCTTGCCCTCCCCATTCCTTCCTGAGTTTTTGCAAGCAATCTTCAATTTCCTGGGCTACAAAATTAGCAGGGATCAGACTACTCCTTTCTCACAAAATTAATTAGTGATTTCTCAACTTTTCGGGATGAAAAGTTTTTTTCTTTTCTGATTTTCTTGATGCCAGGAAATGTGGACAAGACTCCTTTCTACTCTGTGGGGACAAATGGAAAGAATTCCCTTCTAATGAAGAATTACTACATTTTTTTTTAAATGTTTTAACTCTAAATCTTCCTATAGGAAGCAAACTCAGCTTCTTGCCCTAGGAATAAATAGATGAGCTAGTTCCCTTGCTGGGCAAATATCTATAGACCAGTATTAAATATCATCACATGTTGTTCCTTTATACTCCCAAGTTCCCATATTTTTCCTGCTTAATGGCATATTTTACCTCATAGTAATCATAGGAGTGGTTGGTGACAGCAAAAATAGGGATGATATTACTCCGCCCCAGAAGGCGCACAAGGGTAGGCACTGAGGGGTAATCCTGCTTGGTATCAAAGGTGTAAGTCCCTGCTTGAGTTAGGTGGCATTTTTCATCATTCTTTCTTAGGATTCCAGCAAGGACGTTGGCGCCATCAGCTTCGTAATGGAAGGCCGACTCAGTGGAGAAGACCAGGAGGTGAGTGCTGTCATTCCGCCACCCAATATTCTCCTGTGGGAATAAGGAAAGTCAAAGATGTAGAATGGAGGTGGGCAAATCACATCCCTAAGACTCATTTTGACAGCTCCTGCCCTCTTAAATTCATGTTTCTAAATTTGATGGGAAACCACTACAGCACAATGTTGACCTGATTCTCAGCAGGGAATAAGGGTAGCACACACAACTGTTAACAACTAAGTCCCCAATTCCTCAAAAATAAAAATGCCAAAAGCATCCACGTTTTATATAATCGTATCATCCTCATTAAAAAAAAAGGTAAAAATTGAAGTGTGCTTTCTCCATGTGCCAGGAGGAATCACATAACTAGAGAGTGGGAATAGCTGCCAAAAATCCAGAAAGGCTGTTCATGATAACTTTTGAGAAATATGCTATAAACAGCTATTCCAGGAATGTTAGTAACCACTGAGTATGTCTTTCAAATGCAGCTCAGATCAAGGTTAATTGAGAAAACTAACATTGTCATAGATCTGGGAATTTCATGCTTATCTTGTCTCCTCAGCAATGAACTCTTCAGCTCCTTAAATTTACAAATGTTATTAGGCACTAGGTAGTTTGTTTTTCCCCTGACCTTCATAAGATGTTTAGCTGGTATTCAGACTATAATATCCTAACTCCAGATAGGAGCTGATAATAGCAAAACCTGATAACAGCAGTGATCCCTGAGGGAGATGGATGGTTCAAAAATTTGAAAAATAAGTAAATAAAATAAACAGTCTCCACAATATCTAACTCCAAAGCTCACCCATTTTCTTATCAAACTGCAAACAAAACTGGCTGTGGCTTTTCAAAGCAAAAATTTGGCCTAGATTTTTCTACTGCTCTCCCAGTTTGGTATGCAGCTAAAAGGTTTTTATCCTTTATAGAGAACCACTATATCTATGCCATCTTCAGTGTCCTCTGCCCTGTTTACCTTGCAAACTGCTGTTTGCAATATAGCATCAAAGCCACCTTCAGGAGCATCCAAGTTCCCTGATATACGTTCCTTCATCAATTCCTGGCTGAATTTATTGATATCATTGGTTAGACGGATGACATTCTTAAAAGAGAAAGGCGGGTCAGCATTAAACCAAGGTTCCCGCAATCTGAAAGCAAAAGGACAGAAAATTTTAATTGGTAACTACTGCCAACCTGACTATCAGAAATCTTAAACAAGGATCCCTTGAAAAAACATCTTATTGTTTACCACAATATTTAATGCAATGAATCTGAGCAGAACAGTTTCGATTTAAGCAGTAAAAAGAGACTGCATTTAAACATCACACTAAAACAGATTCAGCTTTGTTATTTGGAGCACAATATACAAGCTAGCCATTGTTATTTCTAAACTAGGCTATAAGGTTTAACACAATATAGAAACCTGCCCAAAGCACCAATGAGTTATGAGAATAAGTTGTGAGAAGCAAACATTTTACAGTAGTAGAGGACAATGAGGCTTAACATTGCTACTTCTTGTGTATGTATCCTACTTCTGAGTATTGAGACATTGGAGCACCAATCCATACACTGGGTTCAGTTTCTCAGAATAGTTCCATTTGTTCCTGTTATTTTTGTTTGATACACATGATAATACATAACACATTTTTATATTATAAGCAGGGGTGCTATTCAGCAGGTTCTGACAGGTTTTGGAGAACTGGTAGTGGAAATGTTGAGTAGTTCGGAGAACCGGCAAATACCACCTCTGGCAGGCCCCAGAGTGGGGAGGGAATGGGGATTTTGCAATATCCTTCCCCCAGGAGGGGGGAGGGAATGCGGATTTTGCAGTATCCTTCTCCTGGAGTAGGGTGGGAATTGAGATTTTGCAGTAGCCTTCCCCTTGCGTGGGGTGGGAATGGCCCCTGCCACGCCCACCAAGTCATGCCCACCAGGCCATGCCCACAGAACCAGTAGTAAAAAAATTTGAATTCCACCACTGATTATAAGGTTATAACATAATTCACAAATACACACATATGCATGCATACATGCACACAGAGGGTTAGATGAAGAGATCTAAACATTAACGTTCCTGTTCCTTTTCCAATTGCTAGAAAATTCCATACAATATCACAGGATTTCTTTTAAAAAGCAAACTTGGTTCTCTGGGTATTTTCTTCAGTTTCATCTCAAAGTGATTGGGGAAAAAAACAAATTACCCCAAACAAGAGTCCCTTTCTACAAATGGATGAGTCATCTTCTATTCAAGTAGTTCTCAGGACTTGCTTGGACAAGACTGAGCCAAATTACTCAAGCTGTCTATTCACGGGGCAGTTAAAATACTGTTATATGCCCCTTTGTGAAATGTTTAGAAGCATAATTTTAGGGTAGCTTTAATGAAGCTATATTCCCTGAGACTTTTATATGCTTCTTATAAAGGATATAAAAGAAAAGGTTTATTGGGGGATTAATCAAACTGATCCTAAATCCTCAGAAAAAAATGGATTCAACTGGCCAATTGATAGCCGAATTAAAAACAAAGGAATTCTGACTGAGAGCAGATCTATCAACGACTGATATCGACAAGATTTGGGTATACGTAGAATATTGCAAGGTAGTAAGAAAGCATGGTCTGAGGAAGAAATATGGGACTAGAAGATCACAGATTAGATAAAAGCCTTTATTTTTTTTAAAAAAATACCATAGATCCTGAATAGTTCATTTCCAAATGACTTGATGGATTCATCACTAGTACTCACCTTATGGGCCTCATGTCTGTCTGTGGTGCTGTAACTTTGTCCACAAATTTGCCAAAACCAATGGTATAGTCATGCGTCAGCTCCGTCAAGAAATTTGCTAGCAGGATAGAAGAAAGAAAGGAAAGAAGGATGAAAATATTTGGGGACTTTAGATTAAATCTTCTAATCCCATGATGGAGTTCAGTTACTATAAATATTATGTTGGATGAAGTGAAATCATTCACTCCTGGAACCAATTAAAATTTACAGCAATCCCGAGAGATGTTTATGACCATGCAGAGAAAACCCCAGTATTATAAGGGAACCTTAATGCAATTTGAGTATACATTCTTGTTTTTTGAATTATTTATTTATTCATTCATTCATTCATTTATTTATTTAATAAATTATTTATTAGGTGAGAGTCAAGGTGATGGTAATTACCTATAAAGCCCTACATGGCTTAGGGCCGGGGTACCTGGTGGACCATCTGCGGCCAGCGACAGCTCCCCATCGCCCGGTGCGCTCTCATATGGAGGGCCTCCTTGGGGTCCCGTCAGCCAGGCAGTGTCAGCTGGCGACTCCCAGGGAGCGGGCCTTCTCTGTGGGCGCACCTACTCTGTGGAATCAGCTCCCCCTGGAGCTCCGGATGGCCCCTGACCTTCGCTCTTTCCGTCGTGACCTCAAAACATGGCTATTTGGCCTGGCCGGATTGGACTGAAGGGGTTTTTAAAGGGGATTGTATTGGTTTTTATATTTGAATACTGAATTTTATGTGTTTTTTATCTTTGTGAGCTGCCCTGAGTCCTTTGGGAGAGAGGGCGGCATACAAGTTTAATAAAATAAATAAATAAATAAAATAAATATTAGTATTATGGTAATAAGAATCAGTTTGGTATAGTAGTTAAGGCACCAGGCTAGAAACTGGGAGATCATCAAATCTAATCCCACTTTAGGCACAAAGCCAGCTGAGTAACTTTGGATAGTCACTCTCTCTGGGCACCCTTTTTTTGAACTATTACCATCTGGCAGACCATATAGGATAATTTAAAAAAGGACAAATAGCTGAAAAACAGCTTCTATCCCAGAGCAGTAACTATATTGAATTCTACTGTATAGTGCAATATTAATGCAATATCAGGGGTTTTTAGTTCAATTGTATAGAATGTGAAGGATGTTTGTTTGTGTTTTATTTTTATAGTTATAATGTACACTGAAGATGGCATTTAATTTCATTGTACGAGGTGCAATGACAATAAAGTAAACTAACTAACTCTTCAGTCCTAAGAAGCAAGCCATTGCAAACTTCTTTAAAAAAATATTGCCAAGAAAGCTGAAGGGACTAGCCCAGGCAGTCAATGATTTGAAGATGCTATAATAAGAATAAAAATAAGGAAGTCTCGCTCATTGATATTGCTATACCAGGTAATTCTAGGATTGAGAAAAGGCAATCTTGCAAAATACTAGGATTTGTAGATAGAAGTTAATGCATATGGAGAAAGAAATTTGTTGCTACTACAGTATACTGTAATTGTGATTTGATTTCTTGGAATAATACCTAAAGGTTTCTCTCAATATTTGGAAATTTTGAATTTATCGGACTTTAATTTTACAAGAATAAAATACACTGCTTGGAACAGCCCATATCTCAAATGCTACCTTAATCATTCTTAGATCCTTGGTTAGAAAGTGAATTATTAAGTTTTTACCATTCTTTATGAATTTAATTATAGATTACACAAGTTTGAATCTCTCTCTCGGTAACCTCATATCCTAATTATCATAAGATATCCTAAATGCACTCATTTTAGTCATAGAAAACAACTATGAAATGGATTTATTTTTTAAAGTTTCCTATTCCTATAAAATGTTGTACTTAATACATTTGTCCTTAACCCACCAAAGGTTAAATCTATGTATAAACTATTTATTCACTTTAATCACTCTTTCTCCTCTGGTTCCCCCCGCTCCGCTCTGCTTTATCTTAATTTTAAGTTCTCTGAATCAGGAGTAAGTTCCCTTTTTATGCTTTTCGTGCTTTGCTGCTATTACATAAACAAAAGCAAGAACATGGTTTTCATATCTATCAACTTGGTTCTGATGATGTATACACAAATGTGCATAGGAACACAAATATCTCTTTGACTCAGCTTGACTATTAATGACTATGGATAAGCCCACAAGTTATTTGGCAACAATGTAGAAGCATTTCTTATAGCTTTCTTTTTGGATTTTTTATTGGTTTCCACGGTAGTGGCTACATTATTTCCTGATGATTACCCATCCAAATGCTAACTAGCTTTAACCTTGCATACTGTTTCAAATTAGCTTGGTTGCTGTCAGGGCCAAAGAATCAGGACCATTTGTAAGAATGCAGCATAGAAGATTTATTTAAGGGTATACATAAGAATCTGGTGAATTAAAGTTCAATGCTAAATTGATGCCAGATAATGGTCAATGGAATACAGGAAGGATTGAGCTTTGAGCGCTTGTAGGAATGCAAGGACTCTAAACTGATGATGCATTTAATTCTGCTTCCTAGCCATGTCCTCTCTTCTACAATTGCCTAGCACTTATTATCTAGCTAGGCATAGAGTGTGAGGACCTCTGTGATGAGAAACAACCAAGGAGAATCAAGTGAAGCAGATAAAATGAGAATAGATTTCTTAGTTGCATTTCCATGCTGAAGCTGGAATAGATCAAGTTTGCAAGAAAAAATCCAGCTTTTAACTGCCACATATATTATCCACCTGCTGGTCTTAGATTTTGTTTCCCTCCCTTTGCCAATTTCCTTGAAAAATTGCAGATAACTAACTGACTGACAAATGTCTCAGACTGATTTCAAAATGAGATAATTTAATCTCTCACCAAGGTACTGGCCCATTTGTTTCAGGTTGTCCAAGTCATCAGACATGGAATATGAAAAATCCATAAGGATGTAGAGGTCCACAGGAGGTTCAGTGGGCTCAAACACCTGCATGGCAATGTTTACTTCGTCATCCGGTCTCAGTTTGAGTAATACGTGCTGCGGAGATACTTGTGTTTTCCTCAGAGTTGTATCAATTTGGAAATTCTGCCAGGAAAGACATCAATTATACATAATGGGGGATCTTGAAAAGACTTAGAGACTACTATTATAGCAAATTGGTTGAATGTACTGATTCCCAAGATAATATTACAGTATCCCCTCCCCGCAATGGGTATACAGGTAGTCCTTGACTTACAGCCATTGGTTTAGTGACTATTTGAAGTTAACAATGGCACTGAAAAAAGTGAGTTATGCCTGCTTTTCATGCTCATGTCCATTGCAATATCCCCCATGGTCACATGATCAAAATTTGGGTGCTTGGCAACTGGCACATACTTATGACAGTTGCATTGTCCCAGGGTCATGTGATCACAATTTATAACCTTCCCAGCAGGCTTCCAACAAGAAAAGTCAATGAGAGAAACCAGGTGTGCTTAGCAATCACATGATTCACTTAACTACTGTGGTGATTCGCTTAAAAAGTATGGCAAAAAAGATGGAGCAAAACCTGTTTAACAACTGCCTTGCAAAGCAACAGAAATTTTGAGCTCAATCAGGGGTTTCAAACTGGTGACCCGCGGGTCGGATGTGTCATGTGCAGGCCACGCCCACCCCAGCTTCATGAATGGGAAAAACGTCGCAAAATGTCATGTGACAGCAATGTGACACGGTGAGTTTGACACCTGTGCACTAAATGAACAAAAACATTCTGACTAATTAGAAATTACTTCATTGAGAATAGCTACTTAGTTAATTGCTTATTGACAAATTTTGCATTGGGATGTTCTGAGAGATTATTCAGGTATATATTAATTTTCTTATGTTCATATCCATCATTCTTTCACTGTACCTCTACTTACCTTTGTCATTAATACCTCTCCAGACTTTACTTTTATGTTGTTTTGGCAGCCATAGCTCCTTAGATTATCTTCCAAATCACAACGGATGCCTTTGAAGTTCTGGGATGAGAATAATTAGACAGTAAAGTATGCTTAGAAATTAGGCTCAAAATTAAATTGTCTTTAGGGACTCAGCCTCTGCTTAATATTAGTTTAAGGTTAGAATTAGTGACTCACTGAAAAATTCTAATTCAGCATGATGCCTGTATTGAAAGATCCTAATCTTGTTTGGCCTTGTGAAGATGTTATATTGTAGGCATTATCTCAGGGTGGCTGTTACCACAGTAGATAACCAGGCAATCTCTCCAACCCCAAACTGATTGAATTGTCAGCCTTCGAACCCAATTTATTTGAATTGGGTTTTGGGTTTTTTTTGTCTCACTAGGACAAAAGTTTCAAATAAGGCACACCCATAGCAAATAAAATTATTTTTGTTATTACCCATGTAGACCTCCTAGAGTAAACCTCAGTGAGGTTGGGAATACGGTATTTAATTCTCTCCCCCTCAGTGTTTCTGAGTGAGCATACTAGCAAGGAAATCAAATCACCATAAAAGAGTCTGGGGGTTCTTTTTTATTAATTTGTTCTTTTATTGTTTTTAATGGGTTTTGTTGGTTCTTAAAACTGAGAAACAACTCATGAAATCCATGTTGTCAGATTGAAGGAGGCGGGATTAAATAACAAAATAAATAAAAAGATCAGTGTCAAGGTGTTGAATGGAAAGGGATCATGGCCAAATCTCAGTCTTTGAGATCACATCATCCTATCCTCAATAACTGTTAAAAACGTTTACCTCATCTGTGCAAAAAGTACAGTTGCTGCTCACTCGGATGCATTCAGTGCAGCTTTTTGCCCTAGAAGCCACACATTGGTTAACTAGAAACAAACAAACAAACAAACAAACAAACAAACAAACAAACAAACAAACAGATTAGAACATAATTGTCTAGAAATAGGCTAGTTCTAAAATGTGGTCATAACATAATTTCTTTTCAAATTTGCAGGATCAATGTTGTTGTTGTTTTTACAAAGATTTGATATTGTTCCCATTGATATGTGAGCACAATCACATAAAATTGTATATTAGTGCAGCTGATTATCATCATCATCATCATAGTTGTTGACTTTCCAGATATTAAATTCATAGAATTTGCTGACACTTCATACAGTTGGATATGAGGCATTAGTCAATTTTTGCTTGGTAACATTTAATCTTAAATGCTAATGTTTTACTTTATATTTTGAGAGTACATAAGCCACATTTGGGAGTGCCATTGATTTTATGATTCCTGTAGCGGCATGTTTCCAAATGGCAAACAGTTTGGATTGGGAAGAATCATAATCAAGACTGTACTTTTTGAACTTACTTTTTTTCCCTTGGCCCAAGATAAAAAGCAGGGAGAACAGAAGCAGCTGGAACCACATCCTTCCCAAGAGCTTGTCCATTCTTCCTGAAATACAGCAGACTGTGGAGTCAGCAATGGCTCAGCTCAGACTCATTTGATAATTCTTGAACTCCTTTAATGTGGTCTTCTGTAATCTAGAAGATGTAATTCCAACATATTTGGGAGCCATCAGATTATGGAAGGGTTATAGAAAACAATCACAGGTTTCTTACCACTGCTGTTTGGTAAGAAATAGAATAGAACATTCCCTGCTGCAGACACAAGAGACCTCCGAATAACCTGAGATAGTCAGCAATATTGTGTGTTAACAATATTATGAATTAACATTAAATTTCTGAGCAACCTTGATCTAGCAAATATGAAGTATTGTGCTTGAAAAAATTAATGATTTGTGTCTATTTATAAGGGGAAGTGGAAAGTTTTAAAGCCCCAAATCTGAATTTTTTGAAATTCTACTTAACTTCTGAGATTTTGCCAGGCTTTGCTTTTGCACTTTCCAACTATCCTCCACAGGCATGAAAAATAAAAAACTTGCTTGGAGGAAAGAAGGAGATGGGTGGGAAGGGATATAGATTCCATTCTCAGTATATATCAGTCTGCGTGGAGCAATACAGCACCAGTTCATACTATCTTCTGACATTCAAAGAAGGTAACTGAATCAGAGCATCTGCCTAACACGGAATGAACAATGGCCAGATATCTTGTATAGAAAGGCACAGACCTCATACTCATTCATGATGAAGCATCCTCACTGGTCACATTAGTTAACTTGCAAAGAGTTTTCTCATATAGTGCTCACTGCTCACATAGTGAACTTTCTAGTAGTTTACACTGTACATCCCTTCTCCAGTATTTTTGCGTATTGATGAGGAAATCCATTTCAAGAATGTATTTTCAGAAACGACTAGGCATCACTGACTTGTGCTAAAAGTACCCTGTTTCCCCAAAAATAAGACATCCCCTGATAATAAGCCCAATCGGGCTTTTGGGCGCATGGCAATAAGGCCAAGCGCTTATTTGAGGGTTCAAAAAAATATAAGGCAGGGTCTTATTTTTGGGGAAACATGGTATGTTCTATGTTCACAAAGGAAGAGATTTATGGTTGGTCCTACCTCCCAGCTCTGGCTACCTATCTTAATTAGCATAGTGGCATTATAAGCTAAAGGAATCCAAATGCAGAACTGCCAGCACTCCAGCATTAGACGTTGAAAGAGAACGGAGGTATTTATCCATGGCAAGCACGGCAGCAGCAGAAAAAAAGAAAGAAAGAAAAAGAAGTCCACCAGTGAGGCAAGATATGGACCTAAGAATGTAGGGTGAGATTCTTGGTCACAGACCAGTAGACAAGCACTAATTGGCTGATAATTCTCAATGCTTAGCTTGGGCACTGATTGGCTGGTAGTTCTCTGTGGCTTGCACATACCTAAACATATCCATGATCAGAGTGACCTGATGTTCAGTAAATCTGAAGAGAGTCAAAATAGCCTACATTGGTCTTTTCATTTAACCAACCATGTCCCAGCTTTGGGAAATTCTCAGTGTGTGTGGACTTCAAGTTCCAGAATTTTTATCAATGGCATGCTGGCTGGGAAATTTGAGGCACTGAAGAGAGTAGTCAGGATGGGAAACACTACTTTAACTGTACTTAGTGATGAAAAGTCCTTTAAGTGTAGTATGTAAATATTCCATAGAAGAAAGATAATCTTTTAAAGTACTACCAGTAATATGTTTTGATGATATCTCAACATCTGCTGTCTTTTAATTATTATCATTGCTATTCAATTGCTCCTCTTTAGCTGAATCACTGCTTGTTTTATTATTTTATGTATAGTTTTTTCTTTAGACTTACACTTTGGACTTTTTTTTTTTTTTTGGATAAACCTCTCAATGAATTCCAGAAGGACAAACATTTTAGCCTTTGCTGGTGAACCCCAGGAAGTGAAGTGGCTTCTTGAAATCTCTGTTGTTTTTTGCATGAATTCCAGATAATAATGATAAGATAACTCTAATATTAAACTTACCATAACAATAAAATTAATTAAAATTAATTTAATTAATAATATAATAAAATAAAATAAAATATAAATAAATTATATTTATATTTATATAAGTAATATAAATAAAAATATAATAAAATAAAAATAAAATTAATAAAATAAAGGGACACGATGGCTCAGTGGCTAAGACGCTGACCTTGTCGATTGAAAGATCGGCAGTTCAGCGGTTCAAATCCCTAGTGCCGCGCAACGGGGTGAGCTCCCGTTACTTGTCCCAGCTTCTGCCAACCTAGCCGTTCGAAAGCATGTAAAAAATGCAAGTAGAAAAGTAGGGACCATCTTTGGTGGAGGGTAACAGTGTTCCGTGCGCCTTTGGCGTTTAGTCATGCCAGCCACATGACCACGGAGACATCTTTGGACAGCGCTGGCTCTTCGGCTTTGAAACAGAGATGAGCACCGCCCCCTAGAGTCGGGAACAACTAGCACATTTACCTTTTTAACACTAAAATAATTCCTCACTGTGCTGACAAATTTTGATTAGAAAACAACTACAGTTCCAATCAATGCCTCAGATAAAACCATGAGTTAATTGGCTATGTTTAAGAGAGAATAAATTAGGCGCTTTGTTTCTGGAACTCTCAAATTATGGTTCTCACACTCATAACGGGACACTGATGAAAATATTTTGCTTTTATCCCAGAATGTTTTGTGAATACTCCCTATGTTCATGCTCATTTCCCCCAGTGCAATCACACCAGCAAACAAAATTGCTAGGTATATTTGTAGGACTTTGACATAGCCCAAAGTCTGTGCTTCAGAGAAGATCTACAAAAACCTGCGGTATGAATAGCAATCTATAAAATATGTTCAACCGCATGGAGCAAAGAACTGAATACAATGGTTGGTCAAGGCTAAAGGTTCTTCTTTTCTGCTGCATGGCTGTTAGCATTTCTGAATGGATGTGTGCCTGTTTATACCATCCCAAAGCCATGCAAAGCTTTTCCTGCATTGTATCAGTAATGATTGTAGCTAGGGAAGGGATCGATTGTTCAGGATTCTTCATAAAACACCCCTCAAATATAAAACCAGCAGAGGTTCAACTGAGTTTGTATACCTAACATGTTCTATTTCTCAAGGCAAAGACATTCAGAATAACAGAGTTGGAAGGGGCCTTGGAGGTCTTCTAGTCCAACCCCCTGCTCAGGCAGGAAACCCCAGCAGTGGGATTCAGCCAGTTCGCACCACTTTGGGAGAACTGGTTGTTAACATTCTGAGCAGTTTGGAAAACTGGTTGCTGGAAGAAATCATTAGGGCAGAGAACTGGTTGTTAAATTACTTGAATCCCACCACTGGGAAACCCTATACCATTTCAGACAAATGATTGTCAAATCTCTTCTTTAAAACTTCCAGTGCTGGAGCATTCACAACTTCTGGAGGCAATTTGTTCCACTGATTATTTTTTCTAACTGTTAGGAAACTTCTTGTTAGATAATGTATGAGATAATGTCCATACATAATGTATGAGATTACAATAAAACACAATTCCCTTGTTCTAGAAATCACTAGTCTTATTGTGTTCCACTGGCCTTAAGTACTTGCTTAAAGTTTTGTTTCAGTTTAGTAAGGTAGACTAATAAATTTATTGCAGAAGATGATTTGCAAGAGGTATTGGATTTTCAAATCAGAATTAGAATATGTTGTGTATCATACTGTCCCGGAGCAGTTACAAATCTTATTTTAACTTCTATAATATATTTACAGAAGTTCTATGATTGTAGTTTAGAAATTTCAGTGAATTTGCTCAAATGAAAAACAAATCTGAAGAAATAATATTTGCAGGGAATACTATTCAGAAAACCAAGGAAAAAAGGAAATTCCCTAGCACTAAACCTTGAAACTTCTGTTATGTACACATACAACTGATGTGTGGGTGATCTGGTGCAATTGGCCTCTCCTACCAGTAGTTCAAAATGTGCATCCCTCTGCACACATGACTCATGATTCACTGCCAAAACAAGCACCTCTTTTTCCTGAGTTTGGGACTTTCTAGCCTAATAAAAATCAGAGAAGAAGAAAAACAAGATACATTTCCAAACAACCCCCTCCTATCAGCTATTTCCTATTGTGCTAACAATTTCCAGCAGCTGTTAAAGAATGCTGGGTGGGACTGTGGAAAATGCCCTGCCTCCATAGGAAACTCTCATCTGGGGAGAGCAGGGTGGGTGTTTGTAAACTTGCAAGCTCACATCCTCACAGGATCTTTCTTTCTTTCTTTCTTTCTTTCTTTCTTTCTTTCTTTCTTTCT